GCACACAGCAGGGCTCCCGGGGCGGCCCGGCCAGTCTGAGAGCCGCGACCTCCGAGCAGCACAGCTAGATCCAAAGTGAGCCGCGCAGCAGATCATTTCCTCCAGAAACAAAATGACAACTAACTGCCCCTCCAAGCGCGGGGTTAGGAGCTGTCATGTTCCAGGAGCTCAGGGAGGGACCAACCGGCACCGTTGGTCTGAGGCACCCAACCGGGGAAACAAGGAACGCAGAGGGGGAAGAAAGAACAGAATGGGCTCCGCAGAGGCTGCGTCAGTGACCATCAAGTACACGACCTGCCTTGGAGGAAGCCAGGGGCCTAGAGGCTGGAAAATAAAGGGAGCACTTGAGACCCCCGACGTCCTGGAGAATATTCAAAGGACTATGACATGCATTTCTCATTGCGTGAATAAAAAGAGAGAATAACTTTAGGTTGACAGGCTCCACCGAATGTACAAGACGGTACAGTTTAAAGACACTGTGGGGGCATCTGGGAGGCGCAGGTCATGATCCCAGGGTCCTAGGATAGAGTTCCGCTTCGGGCTCCCTGCTCAGCGGGGGTATGCTTGGAATCCTCTCCCTCTGTCCTCCCCGCATGCTCTCTAAATGAAATAAAATCATTAAAAATAAAACCACTGGGGCAGCCCGGGTGGCTCAGCGGTTTAGCGCCGCCTTCAGCCCTGGGCGTGACCCTGGAGACCCTGCATGGAGCCTGCTTCTCCCTCTGCCTGTGTCTCTGCCTGTGTGTGTGTGTGTGTGTGTGTGTGTGTCTCATGGATAAATAAAATCTTTTAAAAAAATGAAATGAAATTTGTCAGGTGAACATAGAGAAGCAAGTTCATTTGCTAAAAATCAAGATACGGGTTGTAATCAACAGAGGAGGCTGAAAGTTAAAGGGTAGACAAGTGAAATCAGAAAAAAGTATCCAGAACAATGTAGAGTAGCCAGTACGATGAGAACAACTTGACTTTAAGCCAGAGAGTGTTTTCTTAGAGGCAGGAAAGTCACCACGAGACAGCACGAGGGTGGATGGGCCAGGAGTACGAGCTGTTCTAAACACGTGCACCCTATAAAATATCCTTCAACTTTTTTATTTGAAAATTAATATATTACAGGAATTTTTACCCTCTTTGGAAAAAATCGGAGGGGATTTAGGAGATCTGCAACCTCAAAACCAGCCAGCTTAGCCCAACCAAGCTACATGCTGAAATAATAGACTGCACATCCTTCTCAAGAACCTGCAGGACGTCGAAAAATCAATCACATATCAGGTGGTAAGAAAGCCTCAGAAGTCAAAGCCTAGATACCACGTACGTGATAGTTTATGACCATAATGTGATTAAATTGAGAATCAATGACAGGAATCACCTCCCTGAATCCCCACATTTTTGAAAACGAGAAAGCACAGGAGATGAATGCTTCCAGGTTGAGGGAGGAGTTGATTATCTTGAAATCAGAACTCGGTGGGTGATGTTAATGAGGACAATGACAGCAAGCAAGAAGGCCGAAAGAAATACACGCTCGAAATACCTCCATTAGGTTCAGTGGCTTTGAGTGTATTCACCCACATGTGGCATCATCCTCACTCAGTCTTAGAGCATCTCCATCACTAAATAAGAACCCCGTACCCGCTAGCCGTCATCCTCCAGCCCCTTGTCCCAGCCCCAAGCAACCACTCATTACTTTCATTCTCTGCAGCCTTCCCTACCTTGGACATACGTCCACACGAACAGAATCACACAATGTGAGGTTGTGGTGATGGGTATACTGTCTTCAAGGTCCATCCGTGTTGTAGGACGTATCATTCCCTTTTACGGCCAAGTAGTATTTCGTGATATGGATACATGATATTGTGTTTATCCATTTGTTTGTCTACTGATGAGCATTCGGACTAGTTCCGCCTCTTGGCCGTTATAAATGACACATCTAAGAGCACACATCTGTGTACAAGTTTTTGCATGGATGTGTGTTTTCACTTATCTTGGATATAGCCCTAGAAGTGGAATTGCTGGGTCCTATGGTAACTCGGTGTGGAATCATTTGAGGAACTGCCAGACCGTTTTCCAAAGTAGTTGCACATCGTACATTCCCACCAGCAGCGTACGAGGGCCTCATTTCTGCACGTCACCACCTGCACTTGTTACCTGCTCTTTTGATCACGGCCATCCTCATGGGTGCAAAGGGGCATCTCATTGGGGTGTTGATTTGCATTTCCCTGAGGACTCATGACGGTGAGCATCTATCATGTCATGTGCTTAGTGACTATGTATCTTCTTTGGAGGAATGTCTGTCCATATATTTTGCCCAACTGGGTTGTTTGTCTTTATACTACTGGGTTGTAAGAGTTCCTCATGTATAATGGATGCCAGCATTAGCAGATTATTAATTTGCAAATATTTTCTCCCATTCTGCAGGTTGTCCTTTTACTTTCCTGAAGCACACAAGTTTTTAATTTGGGTAAAATTTAGCTTTCAGTTTTGTCACTTGCCTTTTTGGTGTTATATCTAAGAATCTTTTGCCAAATCCAAGGTCGTGAAGATTTACCTCTAAGTTTTCTTCTAAGAATTTTATGTTTGTAGCTCTTATATTTACATCTTTATTGGTCTTGAGTTAATCTTGTATATAGTGTGAGGTAGGGATCCAATTTCTTCTACATGCGACTATTCAGTTTTCCCTGCCCCATTTGTTGAAAAAACCATTTATCCTCACTAAACGGTCTTCCAACCCACACTGAAATTCAGCTGAACATCAATGTCTATTAGTGGCCTTTCGATTCTATTCCACTGATCTATATGTCTATCCTTACTCCCCTAACACCCTGTTTGATTACTATTATTCTGTAGAAAGTTTTGGAATCAGTTAATGTGAGTCCTTCTACTTTGTTCTTTAGCAGGATTGTTTGGGCTATTCCAGACCTCTGGAAGTTCCATACTAAATTTGAAATCCGTTTTTTAGCTGACTACAAAGAAGTCAGCTAAGATTCTGAAAAGGATTGTGGTTAATCTGTGGGTTTAAGGTGTTTAATGTTGACAATGTCAAGCCTTCTGTTCCGTGAACATGGTATGTTTTCCATCTATTTAGATTTCCTTTTATTTCTTTCAACAACATTTCGTAGTCTTTATTTTGTACTTCTTCTGTTAAATGTATTACCAAGTATTTTATTTATTAATGCTAAACACTGAGTGAAATTATTCTCTTAATTTTATTTTTTGGTTGTTCATTGCAAATGTATAGGAATACGATGGATTGTTGTATATTGATCTTGTAACCTGCAACCTCGCTCAACTCATTGAATAGTCTTTTAGTGGATCACCTAGGATTTTCTGTATGTAAGATCATATCATCTCCAAATAGAGATACTTCTACCTTTCCTTTACCTGAATGCCTTTTATTTATTTTTCTTGCCTAACTGATAGAACCTCCAGGACACTGTTGAAGAGACGTGATGGGAGTAGACATCCTCGCCTTGTTTACCATCTGCAGGGAGGGGAAAGGCACCCAGACTTTCCCCATTAACCACATTGTCAGTTGTGGGATTTCCTAGATTGAGGAAGTTCTTTCTACTCCTAGTCTGTTGATATTTGTTGTTTGGATTCTTTTTTTTTTTTTTACCCTGAAAAGTTATAAAAGATATTGGATACTATCAAATGCTTTTTCTGAGTCTGTTGAGATGACCATGTGATTTTTTTTTTATTCTATTTATATGATTTGTTGCATTATTTGTGTTAGGGTGTTGGAACAACCTTGCATTCCTGAGATAAATCCCACTTGGTTATAGTGAATTTTTTTTTTCAGAGAGAGAGAGCTCACACATGCACACACATACACACAAGCTGGGGGTGAAGCAGAGAGAGAGAAAGAGAGAGAATCTCAAGTAGGCTGTATGCTCAGCACGGAGCGATTGCAGGGCTCGATCTCACACCCTGAGATCGTGACCTGAACCAAAATCAGGAGTTGGATACATACCCGTCTGAGCCACCCAGGCGCCTCATGAATGATTATTTTAATATGTTGCTGGATTCAGTTTACTAGTATTTTGCTGAAGATTTTGTGTCAATAGTCATAATATAATATTGGATGTTGAGTTCACAAGTCAATCCTGGGGGCTTGGCAGAGGGAGGGTGGCAGCCACATGTCAGAGGTGAAGGGAGAGCCCCAAGAGGGAGAGCTGGAGCCTAGACCATGGAGGGTGGAGGTGTAAACTGGGGAGACTCTGGCTTTTCCCACAGCAAGATAGGGGCATCCAGGAGATGGAGTGGAGACAGCCAAGAGGCCAGGAGGGACCCATGTGATGGTTGAGATACCCATCGTGGAGAGATGTGGAAGGAACAGTTGGCAGGGCTGCATCGGGGAGAGCAAGCCAGGAATAGTTCCTGCTAGGAAGAAATAAGGAATCCATGGAGCAGAGAAGCCCCATGTGCTCAGGGTTCAACCATCAAAACACAAGGGGTCAAGCCCTACAGAGGACAGAGGAGAGGGCGAGGGGCAAAGGAAGAAAGTGCTTGTATCCCGTGCTTAAGATGGTGGGGGGCAGGCCTGCTGCTCACTGAGGCAGGAAAGGGGCGAGTCATCAGAGGTTAGGCCCCAGGACAGGGGGTGGGGCAGGCAGGGGGGTGGTAGGGGAAGGGCAGACCTGCCAGCAGCAGGACAGGGAGCCTGAAACACCAAAGCTGCATGAGAAAGGGGTGTGTCAGGGGATTTCAGAAACAAAGGGGGAGCATTCGGTCCTTATCCACGCAGCCACCGTGTTCCTAGGTAGAGCATTTATTCCCACCACGTCCACACCATGCAGGTGCGTGTGACCACACAGCCACGTCCAGCTCGGGTCCCATAATCAGCCCCGAACTCTCCCTGCACGTCTACACAGACTGGGATCTGTGGGCACAGGGTGAGTCCTTAAGCACGGCTTCACCTTCACCGTCCCCTCAGGTCACTTGAAGGGAACAACAACAACAACAACAACAAACCAGCACTGTGACGCATTTAAGTTTTGCATTTTCCAGGCTTTATTTTTCCCCTGCTTTCTAGAACCAGAAGCAGGGAACCTTGAGGAGCTACAAATCAAGTATTTACACCCAGTGCCTCTAACGTGTTTCATGATTTACAAAGTAACACAGCACAGCGACTGTGTCGAAAAAATACATGTACAGTGAATAAATAAACTACAGATTTATGCGTCCACCAACACGTATAAAAGTGGCTCCCACACATATACATATATAGCTAGGTAAGTGTGCATGATTTCTAGACTATAAATACACTATGTACTTAAATATTCCCTGTGAAGGGACAGAGGACAGCGCGCGTGCTCTCAGCTGTGCCCGGTGAAATACTGCCCGCAGTTGGGGTCGCCTCTGACCTCCACGGACCCCGGAATCCTCTCCCCGTTCCAGGGGTACACGCACCAGCAGAGCCCGCGCTGGCCGTCCATGGCCGTCTTGCACTGCAGATCAAGCGGACAGCGCGAGGTCAGGGACGGCCCACGGGCGGGGAGGAGGTGGCGCCCCGTGACCGCGGCCAAGGGCACGGACGCCCCCCACCCAGTTCTCCTCCTAAGATAGGGACTGAGGCTGAGCACCCGGTTGTTAGGGAGGCTGTGCATGCGGTAGATGGCCCGGTGCGCACAGCTGTCTGCCTCGTGACCCCGACGGCGGGGCAGCTGGGCCCGGAGGGACACGTCCCGAGTGTGGCTGCTGTCACCTTGGACGCCGTGCCCCCCCCCCGCCCCCAGGCAGGCTCCTCATCAGAAAAGCGCAGCCTCCTCCCGGAAGGGGGAGGTGACCCCCCCCCATGATCCCCCCAGAGCCCACCTTCCCGGAGTCCTAAAGAGCTCCCCCAGATGAAGCCTCACTTTGTTTCACATCCCAGGGATCACCCGGGAGGCCGGAAACACTCTTTCCTGAAGGTGGTCCTTCCCCTTGAGGGGAGGAAAGCAGGGGGCTGGCTCCATCTCCTGAGCGGAGCTCTCCCCTCCCTCTGGTGTCACAGCCGGGACACAGGTGCAGAGCATGGGGCCTGTCGCCCACCTGCCCAGGCTCACTGCGCGAGCGACTGAGAGCCCCTGGCCGACTGCGGGGTCCCCCCACCCCCTGCCCCGGGCCCCGGAGGGGCTGAGTCTGACTCAGTACGGCTGGTTGGGGGGCCTTGCAGGGCGTATTTGGGACTGGATGCCCTGTCTGGGGAAAGGGCAGCTCTGCAGGGATGTGCCAGGCTGGCCGACCCGCGAGGGCGCCCCGAGCAAGGTGCATACCTGTCTGCTGTGATAGAACCCATTTTTGTTGCAGTTGGGCAGGTAGAAACTGTACAGCTGCCTGGACGCCTGCTCCTCGGCCAGCCGCGCCAGCACCTCGTGCAGCTCCCGCCGGCAGGGCTCCTGGAAGGGCATTAGGCCCACATCGCCATGAGTGACACAGGGACTGACCCGACGGGCTGAGCGTCCGGGGGCCGTCCAGGAGGACGGGGCGAAGCTGCGCGTCCCCATCGGGCCTCCCCGGGCCCCTGCCCTGCGGGGACTCGCCCCCCCCACCCCCACCCCCCGCCTGGAGAGAGGACACGGCCCCTCCCGCAGCAGAGGCTCCTAGGCCATGAGCCTTTCCTCTGTGCTGTTATGTCACAGCAGCCACGCGGAGTGAGGACACGGCTCCTCCGGGCTACCGCAGACAACGGGACCGTCTGCACCCGTCACCCTTGCAGACAAAACCCCGAAGCGCCTGGGAAGCGGGTCAGACCCGTCGCCCAGGCCTGTGGGCCCCATCTGGCTCTTTTTCTCACAGACCAGCCCGTGTCCCCAACTTTGATTCTTGGTCGCCCTCAAGCGGTAGAATGAAAAACAGCCGTCGGCTCAGCCCGGACCAGGGAGCTAGTGCTTGGTGGGGACAGTTTCGGGACGACAGAAGGGGCGATGCTTGCAGAGCTGATGCCTCTGATCACAATGTTTAAGGGGGGTGCGGGCGCCCTCGGGGAGGGAGCGTAAAGGCCCCGCCTGAGCTTTAGGGCGACACACGGGCAAAGCTACACAGCCGGGGAGCTGGCTTTCCGCCCAGCAGGCCCCTGGTGGGAGACCAGCCACAGCTGCGGTGGGGAAGGTCTACCCTTCCCAGGCCCCCGGGAGGCAGGGGGCCCACGGCTTCTGCGTGGCACCTGCCCCAGGGCCTCACCTTCAACTTGTCGGAGTCGCCGGATCCCACGGTCTTGTAATTACGGACGGCGTTCCAGAGGATGGGCGTGTCCTCCTCCGACGGGACCATCAGGTGGAAGTTCTCCAGGAGCTGCTCCTGGGTGATCTCCGAGCTCTCCGAGGACTCCTTGGCATCTGAAACGTGCAGCGCCGCACACCCGTGAGCCCCCCGCCGCCTCCCCCGAGCTTGGGCGCCTGCGCCCCTGGGAGCGCCTTCCTCTCCCGGCAGCCAGGCTGGGCTGGGAGGCTGCTCGAGCTGATCCTGAGCTCTACCCCCTTCCCGCTGAACAGGGCTTCTGAGTTTCTGGGGAACGTGACGACCCAACAGCAATTGTGTAATTCAGGTATGTGTGTGTGGGGGGGGTCTGGCAAGGGCGCCCCGAGTCTTTGCCTCTAAAGGGGTGGAAGAGTGAAGCCACATGGACGTTGGGATTCGGCGCGTGGACAGAGAGAACTGGCTTTCCTGGGGGGCCCTGGGGATGCATCTCTGCTGGGGACCATCAGGATGAGCCCATTTCATTGACTCTGAAGGCAGAGAACCTCCTGGGAAGGGCCATGCACTCGGGCCGATGCCCTAGCAGGGTTACGGAACCATGGGGCTCCTCCAGGAAGGACCAGGGACAGCCCAGCCACCGGCCCCACGGGGAGGGACGGACGGAGGGGTGTTTCCTCTGCTCCCCTCTGCAAGTCAGGAACGTCTGACAGTCCAGTCCTTGCGCGGGGGTGACACACACATCAAACACCTTCTTCCTGTGGCAGTGAACGCAGGCTCCCGGCCTCCACTCCCGCCAGCTCTGGAGCAGCGGGCATCTCAGGCTGTCCCCACAGCCCGTGATAAAGGACGTCCCCGGGCCGGCTGGCAGGAGGGATCCCGTCCTGGGCCACCCAGCTGCGGCCGCACCCCGTGGCCTCCCTCCCCGACCCTGGCACCGAGTCCTGGGAGCCCTCCCGCTTCTCCTGGGCACCTGCCGCTGGACCACGCAGCGATGGGCCTCACTAGCTGCCGGAAGACCCTCTGCCTGCCGTGCTCTGGCCGTGGGTGGGTTTGCTCCTCACTGGCCGTGGGCCTCGGCGGCACCCCCCGCCCCGCCCCGGTCATCTGTCCTGGGAGGGGACCCAGTGGAGCTGCGGTCCTACCTGCGGCGGCATCGGTGGGCACGCAGACGCCCTGGCCGCGGATGAGGGCGTGCAGGGGCCGCTCTTCCCCTGGCACCGCTCGGCAGCTGAGCCCGGTGGCGCAGCGCGCAGTGGCCACTCCGCAGGGCGCGTCCTGTGACAGGGCGCACATGGGGCAGCAGCCGCAGCCGGCGGGCAGGGCGGTCTCGGCGCAGGAGGCGGGCACCGGAGGGCAGAGCGCCAGCTTCTCAGGGGTGCAGGGCGCACAGTGCCACGGCTGCGGGGTGCCAGCGGTGGCGCCGAGCTGGACGGCCAGCAGGAGCAGAGGCGGCCAGGCGCGGGCAGCGGGGGCCGCAGGCATTGTCGCGCAGGTGTGGCGCTCGGAGGCCGGCTGGCGGGCGGTGGCTCACAGGCAGGCGACGCTCAGTGCCCGAAGCCCGATGCTCGCTGGGAGCCGCGCGTGCCTTATAAAGGGTGCGGCCGGCCCTCCCCTTCCCCCTGAATGGGCGGTTAATGATTGTCCGTGCTGCGTGTTTGTGGCCGCGTTCAAAATAAGTCTGGAAAAAAAAAGTTTGTTTTGCTCGCGCGCCCAAGGCCCTGCGCAAATGGTGGGTGGAGGGAGGGCCCCCGGCCCAGGTGTCCGACTGTGTTTGTCCTGTTATGGTTTCCACCTGGAGCCAAAGTGCAATTCTTTTTTTTTTTCTTTAAAGATTTTATTTATTTATTCATGAGAGACACACAGAGAGAGAGGCAGAGACACAGGCGGAGGGAGAAGCAGGCTCCATGCAGGGAGCCCGATGGGGGACTCGATCCCGGGACCCCAGGGTCACGCCCTGGGCTGAAGGCAGATGCTCCACCGCTAAGCCCCCCGGGCTGCCCCAAAGTGCTGTTCTAACCAGGAACGCAGAGCCAGGCCTCGCCTGTTGTGTTCAAGGGGCATCCCGGGCCCACCGGTCGGCACCCCTCCTCGTCCTCCGCACACCCAGGGAGCGCGGGAGACATCAGCCGGGCAGGGCCGGGCCTCCTGCCAGCTTCAAATGGGGAAGCCAAGGCCCAGGGAGGGGAAGGGAGGGACCCCAGCCAGGTCTCCACGGCAAAGCCCAGAATTGAGGCAGAAGGCCCAGGGACCCGCACGCAGCGCAGCCCTTCCCACGGTGAGGATGGAAGGAAAGGCCCGGCATCCCCCGGAGCTGGTGCCAAGCTCCCCGGTGTGGCCGGAGCACAGCATCCAGAGAGGAACTGGACCCCGAGTCCACGAAGGGCCAGGGCCGTGGCTGCGGAATGGGCTCCAGGACCCCAGGCTTCCCCTGACTTTCTGGCTCAGACCAAAAATAAAAAAAAATAAGAGTTATTACTTTATTTTAGAGAGAGCGAGAGTGAGGAGCAGAGGGAGAGGATCTCTAGCAGCCTCCCTGCCGAGTGCAGAGCCCAGCCTGAGCTCTGAGTCAAGACCAGAGTCTGACACTCAACCCAGAGTCCCCCCGACACGCGCCCCGTCGGACTGAATTTTTACCAGGATTCTTTTTTTGTGAAAATTCCCATTTCCCGGATATTCTCTGTGGGTGGTGAGAATGTCACTGTGCGTTTAAAGGCAGTGGGACCGGGGCCCGCTTGCCTCTGGGGCCTGAGGGGCTCGCGTGGACAGCCAGCCCCTGGGAACCAGGCTGCTCTTAGCAAGAAGGAGGCAGCTCTGCGTTTACCGGTGGGGAAAATGTCCAGTACTGAAGTTTTGCAAGTTTACCATAATGTCCAATAAAAACGAGCCAGTCCAGGGGTGCCCGGGGGGCTCAGTCGGTGAAGCACCTGCCTTCGGGTCAGGTCATGATCTATCTCGGGGGCCCAGGAGCGAGGTCCCTGTCAGGCCCCCTGCCCAGCGGGGCATCTGCTTCTCCCTCCGCTCCTGCTCTCTCTCTCTCTCTCTCTCTCTCTCTCTCAATAAATAGATAAAATCTTTAAAAAATGGGGAGGTGCAGAGCATGCAGCTTGTGTGCCAAACAGTAATATGAAATCACGTCAGGGTGACTCGACATTCACGGACAATGGTGAGAGGAATAGGTAAGAACCCGAGGTGGGCACCTGCTGGGTGGGGGGCGCGTGAAGTCAGGGACCCGGGCGGAGCACCGACTTCCGTCATCCCCGGTTCCCCGACCTCATAAATCAGCATCAGTCCCTATAGTGGTGCTTGCATCCTCCCGTAGGACCCCAGGAGCGAGCGTATCACAACACCCGTCCCGGCCCCAGGCGCGACCCCGTGCACGGCCCCATGCACGGCCCCCTGCCCGGGCCGCGGCGGGCGAGCACCTTGGCTTCGCTCTGCCCCGTCCCCTGGCCGCAGCTCCAGCGGCCACCAAAACAAGGTCGGCGGAAATCACTGCAGTCAGGAGGTCAAGGTCGCGTCTGTCGCTGTTTTTACAGAGTAAAGGTCAGTGTCCGGCGAGGAGCTGACCGAGGCTTCGGACTGGCTGAGCGCTATTTTTCCAGCAGGTGCCTCAACGATTTCGTTTCCAAAAGAAGAGTCTGGGCTCTGGATTTCCTCGCACTTCCTCCACTCGGGATCTGTGTGTCCACCCGAGATGGCCCCTGAGGGACGCCGCACGAAGGGCATCATCGGGTGAGCACTCACGGCCCGCCCGCTGTGCGGGGGCCAGGTGCCAGCCCTGGACAGTTCGCCCTGTTGTGCACTTGCCCGCGAGGCCCCCGCCTCCAGCCCACCCTGCCCCAGCTCAGTTCCTCTGTCGCAGATCGATGTCCCCAATGTTTCCGCTGCTTGCATCAGAGCTGCCACAAACCAGAGCCGGCCAGAGAGCGCTCCCTCCCGTGGCCACACACCCCAAACGGCGAGGGCCCTCCCGGGGGCCTCTGTGGGCCGTGCCTGTCTGTCCGCCCCTGGAGGCGGCTGCTCCTGAGTGCACCCCCAAGCCCAGGTCCCGCCGCCCAAGTCCGTGCCATCGGGGGCACAGGGTGAGCCCTGCGGGAAGCCCCTCCTCACCCATCCTGCAGAGGACAGGGCGCCGTGCCACGCGTGGGTGAGGACCCAGCGCTGTCCCGCCCGGAAGCTGAGAGGGCAGCCGGGGGACGGGAGAGAGGGGCCGTAGGTGCTGTGCAACAGGCTCAGGCCACCCGGGGAGGGGTGAAGCCTGCAGGGCAGAGAGCCGGTCCGAGACCCTCCCGCTGGCGTCCCTGCAGGCTGGACACGGACCGCAGGCCGGACCCCGGACAGAGCAGGCCGGCCGCGCCAGAGGCACATCGGCGACAGGCTCACAGCCGTCGTGAGGCCGGAAAGGTCAGCCGGCTCAGGGACGGGGAGGGGCCGCAGCTGGAGGGGCCACAGCCAAGCCGGGCGTCTCGGGGGAGACGGGCGTCCACGCAGGACCATCCCTCGGGAAGTGGTGCACGGTTCCGTCTGCATCTCCACAGGCCCCCCACGCCCTGCTATACCTTGGTGTGCGTCTGCCCTGCTGCCCTCCTCCGTCCCTGGGGACCCACCTGAGTGTCCCCATCTCCCGGTAGCCTTGCCGGGGCTCCTCCCCTGCGCCCTGGTAGCACGTGACATGCCGACCAGATGAGCCGAGCCAAGAGCGTGTGGCTGGGCGCTGGCCCGCGGGTCTCTCCCCAGCGCCCTGCCCAGATTACCCGTGGGCACCCCTGCCCATCTGACCCGCGATGGAGGAGCCACAGGGCGGGGAGGGCAGAGTGGGGCGTGGGGAGCCAGGCTTCCCTGCTCCCCTGCCGAGTGCACCTGGCACCACGCCGTGCCCAGCAGCGTTGCCAGACAACCCCCCGGATCTAGTGGGCTTCGCGCCGCCATCCGGGCGTGGAGGTAGAGCCGCGTGGCCCGAATCAAAGCCTGCAGACACCTGCTGTCGGGGGAGGTCACACGCCGCAAGTTCAGGGCAGTCGGGTGGACTGGGGGCAGCACGGAAAGGTGGTTGGGGATGCACGGGGAAGATTTCTGAGCCAAACACGGAATGTGTGTTAGATCCGCTCAGCAAGAAAGAGCCTCCGCCCTGTGGAACCCCAGCCGCAGAGAGACGCCCGCCCTGCCTCCCGGGGTGCATCCTCCAGCCGCTGCTCCTGGCTCAGAAAACCAGGGCCGGCCGCTCCTCCGTGTGACCCCGGGGCGGGTGTCACGGGCGGGGACCCGGACTGTACGAGTGTCCCTGCCAGCATGCACCGGGCCCTGGCTGCAGGAGCTGCGGGCACAGGAGCCACCTGCTGCGTCTAGGACTCAGGCAACGGCTGCCTCCGTCCCCAGGGGCAGGTCGCCTGCCCAGCTGCTCCCCGGGGGCTGGCCCCTCGATTCCCACGTCCCGGCCCATCATGCCACTTCCCTGACCTGTGAGGGGGGATCAGGAGCCCTGAGAGGCTGCGCGCGACCCCCCAGCTGCTACGGGCGGAGGGGGCATCCCCAGATGATGAAACCGCACAGGGCTCCCGTCACCCGGTGGGTCCGGTCCTGCCCCGGCAGCGCCGCTTACTCACCAGCAGCGGGAAGTTGGGCAATCTCCGCTCTAAAAAACAATGCAAGGGTCAAGGGCGAAGTCAAACCTTCAAAGGGAGGGAACACTGCAATCCGGAGGCCCCTCCGGGGGAAGGACACAAAGATGTTGTGTCGTGTTCTGCGATCGACATCGGGGATGATGTAAATCCATGCAAGCACCTGGCCGCGGCCCCGTCCCCGAGTGACGAAGGGCACCGTCCTCACACCCGCTCCCCCCAATCACATGGGGAAGTAACCTGGCTCCTGTCACGTCGGCACAGCCCAGATCCCAGAGGCAGGAGCTCGCGGCGAGCCCGGGGCCCGTGCCCACCCGAGGGCTCCCCGAAGGCACAGGGCTTTCCTCCGCGATGCGGGCCACCCAACCTGCAGGCACACGTCCGGGCGCGGCTGGGGTCAGGGTACCGAGTGCCAGGCGCACGGGCAGTGCCCACCTGTGTTCATTCCCTTGATCTTCTCCAGAACCCATGGCCCAAGTGTCGTGGCCTAGGCTGGCCTCACGTCACCTGGGGTCTGGGTAGAGAGGCACGTTCCCTGCCCCATGCGCACCCTGACTGGGAAGCTCTGACCCGGGCGCCCCAGCTCCCGGGGGCCCCCACGCCTGCCTCCTCCGCTCTTGCTGAAGGCCAGGGTGGGCGAAACAGGGTGGACGCTGGGAGGGGTCAGGAGGGTCACCGCAGAAGGTGGGTGGGATGGGCTGTGGGGTGATGGGCAGGACTCTGCAGGAGCCACAGACCCCACCTCTGCCCCCGTGCCGGGGCTCCCCCCCAGAGGGAGCCGTTCCCGCCCTCCACCGCCCCGTGTATGAAGGAAGAAGTGCAACCCAGGAGTCTGCCCGGGGCCCTCCTCGGCTCCCAGGCAGGCCTTGTTTGGCTGGGCGGTGATGAAAATGCCCTGGAGAGCAGGTCTGTGTCTCCCTAGTGGTGAAGCGTGCCCAAGAGTCCGATGACAAGAAAATGCTCCACCACCCCAGGAGCCCCAGGAGCCCCTGGGCAGAGTTGGGGGGATGGGGTCCCTGTTCTGATGCCTGACCTGGGGCTGCTCTCTGCACCTGCTCACTAACCTGTCGACAGCCTCATCCGTCAACCTCCAAGCCGCAGAGCCATCCTTGGGACACTGGGACCTCCCATGCCCAGAGGGGGCAACAGTGTGCTGTACTCGTGCCCACCAGGTGTGGGGGGGACACAGCTTTGCCTATTCTCTGACATGCTCAAAGGGCGAGGATGCCGAGCAGAAAAGTGGGGATCATTTCCTATACTACGGTCTGTAGCACATCAGGCTGAGGTGTCTCCCCAACATCACAGCATGGACGTCATGGGGTGTCTCCCCAACATCATGGTGTGGACATCATGGGGTGTCTCCCCAGCATCATGGTGTGGACGTCATGGGGTGTCTCCCCAACATCACAGTGTGGATGCCATAGGGGTGTCTCCCCAACATCACAGCATGGATGTCATGGGGTGTCTCCCCAACATCACAGCATGGACATCATGGGATGTCTCCCTACATCACAGTGTGGACAGCATGGGGGTGTCTCCCCAGCATCACAGTGTGGACACCATGGGGGTGTCTCCCCTACATTACAGCATGGATGTCATGGGGTGTCTCCCCAACATCACAGCATGGACACCATGGGGGTGTCTCCACACATCACAGCATGGACATCATGAGGGTGTCTCCCCAATGTCACAGCATGTACACAATGGGGGTGTCTCCCCTACATCACAGTGTGGATATCATGGGGGTGTCTCCCCAACATCACAGTGTGGACACCATGCTGTGGTATCTCCCTCACATCACAGCGTGACTGTGATATATGCACCTGGGGGTGCTGTCAACCTGGTCACACCATGACTGGACACCATGAGTGGCATCACATGCTCCTGCCCAGTGATGACAGTATCCCGTTGGCTGTTCTAAGAGATGTTTACCTATATCTGCTTGTTTTTTACATTCTCCAGATGACATATGATGTGGAGCAATTTTTCATGTGCTTATTTGGTGTTTATCTTCTTTGGGGAATGTGTCCATTAAGGCCTTTGGCCATTTATTAATCAGGTTGTTTGTTTTCTTGTTTTTGAGTTTTAAGCGTTCTTTTAACTTTTTTAGATAACAGTCCTTTATCAGATTCATCTTTTGTAAATATTTTCTCCCAGTCTTTGGGTTTTCTTCTTTTCTCCTTATGTTTTCTTTCACAGAAGTTTTTAATGTTACTAGTGTCCAGCTTCTACATTTTTGCTTTTGTGGATCACACACTTAGCATCGAATAACTCATCACCATACCCAAGGCGATCTGGGTTTTCCCCATATCACCTAAGAGTTGATAGTTTTTCATTTTACACTTAAGTCTGTTTGACTTAATTTTGTGAAAGGTGTAAAGTCTGTGTCTAGGTTCATTTTTTGCATATGGACACGCAGTTGTTCTGGTGCCATTTGTTAAAAAGCCATTTCTTCATTGTATTATCTTTGCTTGTCCAAGACCAGCTGACTATATTTACGTGGGTCTATTCCTGGGCCCTCTAAGCTGTTCCATTGCTCTCTTTGTCTATTAATTACCAATATCCCTCTCTCTGCTATAGGGTCATAGATTATGATTACCGTAGATTTAGAGTAGGGCATGAAGTCAAGTAGCGTCACTCCTCTCACTTTCTTCTCCAGTACTGTGTTGCCTATTCTGGGTCTTTTGCCCCTCTCTCTCTCTTTTTAAGATTTTATTTATTTGTTCATGATAGACATAGAGAGACAGTGGGGCAGAGACACAGGCAGAGGGAGAAGCAGGCTCCATGCAGGAAGCCCGATGCAGGACTTGATCCCAGGACTCCAGGATCACACCCCGGGCCAAAGGCAGGTGCCAAACCACTGAGCCACCCAGGGATCCCCTTGCCTCTCTTTTTAAACTTTAGAATCAATTTATCAACATCTCCAAAATAACGTACTGAAACCTTGATTGGGATTGCTTCGAATCTATAGATCCAGTTGAGAAGAACCCACATCTTGACAAAATCGAGTCTTCCTATCCATGAACATGGGATGCCTCTCCATTTACCCAGTTCTTATGTAAGATCCATCAGTCTAGTACTTTTTCATATAGATCTCATTCATATTTTGTTACACACAAATATTCCATTTTGGGGGGTACTAATGTAAGTGGTGTCTTTTTAATTTCAGATTCCACTTATTCATTGCTGGCATATTCAGAAAGGATTGACTCTGGATCTTGGTATCCTCCCACTCTTCTTTAGTCACTTATTGGTTCCAGGGGTTTTTTCAATGATTCTTCTTGTCATCTGCAAAGACAATTTCATTTACTCCTTCCCAATCAGTAAACCTTTATTTCCTTTTCTTGTCTTACTGCATCAGCTAGGACTCCCACCATGATGTTAAAAAGTGAGAGATGGGACATCCTTGTCTTGTTTTGCTCTTCGTGGGAAAGCTTCAAGATTCTCATCATTAGGGGCACCTGGGCAGCTCAATGCCTGAGCATCTGCCTTTGGCTCAGGTCATAATCCCGGGGTCCTGGGATCGAGTCCCACATCAGGCTCCCTGCATGAAGCCTGCTTCTCCCTCTGCCTGTGTCTCCGCCTCTTTCTCTGCATCTCTCATGAATAAACTTTTTTAAAAAATCTTAAAGAAAAAGATTCTTACCATTAACTGTGATTTAGCTGATTTTTTATTTTTATTTTTTGGTTTTTTTTTAACTGAAATTTTTAGAGATATTCTTTATCGAGTTGAGGAAGTTCTCCTGTATTCACAGTTTACTGAGTTTTTTTTTTTTAAGATTTTATTTACTTATTTATTCATCAGAGACACAGAGAGAGGCGGAGACACAGGCAGAGGGAGAAGCAGGCTCCCTGCGGGGAGCCCGATGTGGGACTTGATCCCAGGACCCTGGGATCATGCCCTGAGCTGAAGGGCATGAGCCCCCCAGGAGTACCAGTTTACTGAATTTTTATCATGAATGCATATTGGATTTTGTCAAATGCTTTTTCTGCCTCTATTGATATGATCATGTGCTATTTCTTTAGCTTGATGTGACGGCTTACATTGGATGATTTTCAACTCTCAAAACAGCCTTGCACACCAGAATAAATCCCATTTGGTCACAGTATATAATTATTTTGTACGTTGTTGGATTTGATTTGCTAATATTTTGTTGAGGATGTTTTTGTCTCTGTTCATGAAAGATATTCATCTATAGTTTTCCTTTCTTGTAATGTCTTCATCTGTTTTTGGTATTCTGGTAATGCTGGCCTCAAAGAATGGGTTAAGAATTATTTACTCTGCTCATATTTTCAGGTAAAGATGATAAAGAATTGGTATAATTTCTTTCTTTAAATGTCCAGTAGGATTCACAAGTGAACCTGGCTCTTTCTGTCTTGGGAGGTATTTTGACAGTTTATGTTTACAAATGTTAGTGCATTTAAAGCAGTCCCTGCGCTATGATCTTTTGCACTTAATTGATTATTAGTGAAGTTTACGGGTTTTTTTCTCTTCTGTAGTGGTTTCCAAATAGTATCAGTCATTAGCCTCGTATTTATAACCCGAGGTCAACTGCAACCTTGAGTAAACTGGTTGCGTAGAATCTGTTCTAGGAATATACATGTTGGGTACAGAATAGTAAAATCAATGGGACACAGGACGAGATAGAAATGGGGCTTAGACCAGGTGGCTCAGCGGTTTAGCACCTGCCTTCAGCCCAGGGTGTGATCCTGGGGTCCTGGGATCGAGTCCCGCGACAGGCTCCCTGCATGGAGCCTGCTTCTCCCTCTGCCTGTGTCTCTGCCTCCATATCTCTCTCTCTGTATCTCTCATTAATAAATTTGTTTTAAATCTTTAGAAATGGGGCTTAGAAGGAAAATTCATTATATTCTGTGATCCAGAGACAGCCGGCATGGCATGTCACCCGGGGCCACCGGGAGGCCCCGGGGCGGCCAGGAGGCGGCAGTGGGAAGGGGGCAGGGCCCAGGCTGCAGCCCTCACTGGGTTTCCACGGGGAAGGAGAGCAGGGCAGCTGCCTTGAGGAATCCCGGCGGGCTCTGAGCTGCGGGGTGGCCCCTTGTGCCTGGCTCCCCGCCCCGGGCAACCGAGCCAGAGGAGCACCGTCCCCGGGGCTGTGGCTCTGGGCTGCTCAGCGCCCAGCGGAAGGCGTGGTGTACCCTGCCGGGTCCTCCCCCTTCCAGGGACCGCTGACCCCATGCAGGCAGCCTCTCCCCAGCCAGAACGGCGCTAGAAGAGGCCAAAGCATCGTCATAGACAGAAAATAAAAATAAATATCCGACGCAGAAACAAGAAGTAATTCTGTGTGCTGGAGTCTGAAAGCCCCAGCGCGAGGTGGAGCGGCCTCGCTGAAGGAAGTAGGTGAGTGGGCGCCGATGCCACCCGCTGCCGGGTGCCGCTGGGCGCTCCCCGGCCACTATCCTAAAGCTCGGGACGCAGCTGTCGCTGCCCTGGGCCACCTGCGGGTCTGTCCAAAGCCAGTATCCGACTTGCTCTTTCCTGCGCCAAGAGGGTCTCTCGTGCCCGTGACACGGTTTCAGTGTGACAGGCCGGGGACACGCGTCTCTACCGCTTGGCTGAGTGGCGCCTGAGGCCGGGCCCCTGCCCAGGGTAAGGCCCCCAGCCCCGGGTGCACGGCCTCCCCGGGCCCCGCTCTGGGAACTCGCTGGGCTCCCCCAGGCGCCAGAGCAGGGTGTGCGGCCCGCTCCTCCCCGGCCTGGAGCCCAGGGCCTCCCCTGCCCCGGCCCCTGCCCAGACCCCGTGCTTCCCGCCCAGGGCGCCACGGAAGGTGCTGGGGACAGGCGACTCGGCGTGCCCGACAAACGTGACCCGAGACACACACTGCCCATTTCGAAATTGTTTTCAGTGGCAAATGCAAACAGAAGAGGCTGCGGCTGCGCTCAGAGCAGCGGTCCCTGGTGCCAGGTCAGGGGGACTCGGGTCAGGAGGGCAGGGCAACCGTGGCACCAGGAGGTCAGGGGGCCCTTGAGACAACAGGACACCGGGGTGTTCTCCAGGAGGCCGCACCTGGCTCACACGGCGGGACTCGGAACCAACTGTCCCTGCTGCGGCCCTCACCTGGCATCTGGAAAAGGAGGGACGGCACCAGGCGAGGTTTTTTTAAAGTGCTCTTTACTATGAAACGTTAAGAGGCTGGTCAGGGGGCGCCCGGGGGACCCAGGGGTTGAGCAGCTGCCTTGGGCCCAGGGCATGACCCGGGGGGCCCAGGATCGAGTCCCGCATCGGGATCCCCACGGGGAGCCTGCTTCTCCCTCTGCCTGTGTGTCTGCCTCTCTCATGAATAAATAAATAAAATATTTTAATAAAAAGAGGCGGGTTGGGTGGGCCCCAGCTTCTCGCCTGCCCCCCTCCGTCCCCCTCCCGGAGATGCTGGCCATGGGGGGAGCTCACCGTGGCGGCGGCAGCACCGCTAGTGCCAGGGCTGGGCACCACCAGCAAGGCAGGCCGGGTCCCAGCAGACCCTCGGGGCTGCCTGGTGGTTCTGACGCCCACCCTCTGAGGGCTGGGAAGGACTGTCCCCAGCACCAAGGACCCTGTGGGTCACATGTGGCTCCCTACTCGGGACACGGGGGCACGGGGACGCAGGCCTTGCCCTGGGTGCCTGGTGGGATGATGGTCTCCACTCCTGTAGCTTGCAGTGAATATGCATCCAATTTCCTGTGGATGCCAGGTCCGGCGCCACAGGAAACCCGAGCACACACACAGGTGTACCTGGGAGCCCACCAGGTGGAGACCCCCGGGCCTCCGCCCACACATGCGCATGCACGCTCCGCCCTACACCTGCGCCACACAGGCAGCAGGTGCAGGCCGAGCACAGGTGGATCCACGCCCCTGCCTGGCCCGTGGGCGGCGCCGCGGGTGCTTCTGGGCGCAGGCTCCCTGCAGCAGCTGCTTCCTTGCGCGGAGGCGGGATGGCGCTCAGGGCCCAGGTACCGCTGCCCACCTCCCCTGGCCCCCGGCGCCCTGCGCTGGGACCCAGCACGGCCTCCCCTGACTCACCTGTGCGGCTCTGCGTCCTGCACACCCCACCCCCCCTTCCCTCCCCAGCCCGGCCGGTGTGGCTTTGCGGGGGGGAGGCGGGAGGGGAGCTCACGGGATGCCCGCTCCGTGTGCCCCGGGGAAAGCAGGTGCAGGACCGGCAGGGTCCCTGGGGGGCGTCACACAGCCCTGCGCTTCGGGGGCCCCCTCTGGGGCGGGACCACCCCCCAACCACTCCCCAGCCCGGGGAAGGGGCGGCCCACGGCTCCTGGTCTCCTGCACCTGGTCAGAGGAGGAGGGGCCCTCCTCCCTTCTCCATTTCTAGGCCAGGTGTCAAAAGGCCTACGCAGGTACGGAGTGGCCCTGCCTCCCTGCCCAGCCGCCACCGGAAGCTAATGTTATTTGTAGCTGCTTCTAGAACATTAGATCCTTAATTTTCCTCACTTTGGAAAAAAAGAGAAAGACTGTACCCAAAACATGGAGATCTTTTCTTATCAGTGTATTAGAAAAACATTTGTGGTTTTTTTTTTTTTTTTAAACCATTAAGGTTCCTTGCAAGTGCGCTCTCCACGGGTTGGAGAGACGATGGCCTCTTTTACAGGGCTGTGCGCCTTCTGTTTTCACTGAGGATATCGTGTGTTTTTCTTTGCAGAAGTTTAAAATTTTATGTTTAGTTTAACTTTTCTCCTCCACGGCTTCTGTGTCGTGGGTTGTCATGTGAAAGCCCTCCTTCCGGCCGATTTACAGAGGAATCCGCCCGCATTTCCTTCCACCGTTTTATTTGTTTATTTTTTTTTAAGGTTTTTATTTATTTATCCATGAGAGGCACAGAGAGAGAGAGAGAGGCAGAGACGCAGGCAGAGGGAGAAGCAGGCTCCCGGCGGGGAGCGGGATGCGGGACTCGATCCGGGGACCCCGGGGTCAGGGCCTGGGCCGCAGGTGGCTGCTCATCCGCTGGGCCCCCCGGGCGCCCCTCCCTCCAGCGCCTTTGTGGTTCTGCACTCACACGCGTCGGCAGAGGACAGACGGAGGAGGGACACAAAGCCGAGCGTCTATGTGGGGTCTCAGAATTGCAGCTCAGGAACAAGCTGAGTCTCCTAAGAGCTCAGGGGGTTTTGAAGACAACGGGGCATGTTTGCAAATGCTGCTTAGGAAGAATCTGGTAGGTGCTGGCGCCGAGAAGCCGGGCGGGCCCAACAGGACTGATGGGGAGTCGCTCACTGAGCAAAATCTGCTCCGGTAGCAAGTTGCAGGGGCTCGGGGGTGTGGGGTTCGGCCCGGTTCCAGGATCCCGGCTCCACCCTGAGGACGGAGGATGAGGGTGCGGCCCCCCAGCTCCGCCCAAGCCCGTCCACATCAGTGACCCCAGGCCATGCCGTCTCTCACGACATTTATGCCTTCTGTGCAGCTGGAATTTGTCTTGGTGGATGCTGCAAGAACTCCACTTCTTTCAGAGTTTTAAAAATCATTGTTTCGTTTTAATAATCTGAATGTTTTTTTTAAGAATTTATTTATTCATGAGACAGAGAGAGAGAGAAGCAGAGACATAGGCAGAGGGAGAAGCAGGCTTCGTGCAGGGAGCTCGATGCAGGACTCGATCCCGGGACCCCGGGGTCATGCCCTGGGCCGCAGGCCCACGCTCAACCGCTGAGCCACCTGGGTGCCTCAGTAATGTTAATTTTTAAAGACCATAATATTTGCTCCCTCATAACTTATTTTCATGTAGGGTAGGAGGTAGGGACCTGGCTTTGCTACTTTTTTTTTTTTTTCCCCTCAATGGCTGGGCCGTCAGAACAACATGAAATGAAAAAAAAAAAAAAAAAACAATAACAAAAGAACCCTTTCCCGCTCATTTCAAACCCATCTCTTCCCGAATAACATTCCCAGAGGTGGGTCCAGGTTGCTTGTGCTGAGTGTGTGTCTGTAAAAACCACAGGCCTCCCTGTGAGCTGTCGGCCCTACAGGACTGTCCTACAAAAAACTGATCCGACGGTTCTTTCGGTAAAACAGGGAACAACTCATTGCGTATGGTCCTCGGGGCACTTCCGTGGAAAGGTTAGGTCTCCGTCCACAGCAGCTGGTGATCGTCCGTGGGAACAGGATCTTTTGCTTCTTTTTCATCCACCAGAGACTGAAAAAAAAAAAAAAAAAAAAAGCCCAGAACCGTCAATTAGCCCCGATTAGTAGTTTGTTTCTGTTTCTCTGAATTTCCTTGTGTCTTTAGCTCTATGGTGACGCTGCAGCGTCCGCATCAAAGGTACTTCCAGCAAGAGAATATCCCGCCCGGCCTTTATGGTTTAGCACACGGCTTTTTTGTTTTTATTTAGATTTTATTTATTTATTCATGATAGAGACACAGACAGAGAGGGAGGCAGGCTCCATGCAGGGAGCCTGACGTGGGCCTCCATCCCAGGACCCCGGGGTCACGCCCTGGGCCGAAGGCGGCGCTCAACCACTGACCCCCCAGGGACCCCCTAGCACACGGCTTTTGTTCCCGGGCTCACCTACTGTATCTGCCCGTGAACTTGGCCTTTCCCAGGGTTATCCCTGGAGACCGAGGCGCTCCCGCGTCTCCCCGAGGCTGTCTCTGTGGCCAGCACCCTCTGGATCTTTCTGGAGCCCTCCGTCTCCCGTGCGGCCCCCTGCAGACGGCGTGGAGCTGATTCTGTTTGCCTTTGTTGACAGGGCACAGGGGCTAGACCTGTAAGCAGCGACGGGGATCCATACACGGTAAGTGGGGACCCACAGAGACGCGTCTGGGCCTTTGGTGGCTGAAGGAGTGGCCGCCAACGCCATCGGCCGCTGCTCCCCGTTGGAGAGGGCGCCTCAGGAGGGAGTGGGTCCCCCCATGGGACCCCGGTCAACGCTTGGGCACTTCCTGCCGCGGACCCGTTCTCGGGTGTGAATCCAGTTTTTCAGGGTGGTTCGAGTTCGCGTTCATCGACTTGTAAAGGTTTTGCAAAAGGAGAACAATGTGGGAAGAGCACGCGGGAGCCGCACGGCGGAGGCTCTGCAGCCCGCCCCCACCCCCGCCCCGGGAGGGCTCTCCCCTGGGTGCTGCGGCCCCGGGCCCCCTCCTTGGTGGGTGCGCGTGCAGCCAGGCCCCGTCTGGGCTTCTGGCTGGGCCTGCACCCCCGCCCGCTACCCGGTGGTGATACACTCACCTGGTAAGGACGCCCTGAGAGCCCCGGGGACCTGGTTATGCTCGCGTCCCGGAGAAACAACCCTTCCTCCCAGGTGGCGTCCGCGGACCCCCTTCGGCCCTGCCCCGCCTCCAAGCCGCTGCGGGAACTCCAGCCCCTGACCCCGCTCTGGTATCCCGAGCCACAGTCTATCCTACGTGTCCGTTCAGAGAGTCCGGGACGCGGCAAACCGGGGCGGGGGGTGCGCGGTGGACAGCCACACGACCGTCTCACGCGCGCCAGGGGCCGTCTATGACGCATGAACACTTCTGTGCTCGGGACGCGTGGTCTGTGTCTTTTGTTTAGCCCAAACCGCTAAGGGCAGCCACTGGGCGAGCAGGACTGCGGGGAGGTGGAAATTGGACTTTCTCGTTTTACCTGCCCCCCTCCTGCGTGGCTGCAGCCGGGACAGCTGACGCCAAGGGCCCTACGGGAGACCCGAGCTCCCACCCGCAGAAACTGAGGTCCCAGCGTCCGTCGTAGGCACCTCGGTGCGGGTCTCATTGGTCTTGCCGTGATGCTCACGCGCTCCCCGCTGCTGGCAACGTTCCCAATCAGGCTGGCGCTAAAGGGAACATAAGCCTCTGTCCTCGGTTCTCTAAGAAACATTTAGGCCTTTATTACGTCAATCTCATTCCCGTGCTCTCGGCTCTGCCTCCCCCAAAACTCAGCGCCAGGGACATCCCTTCGGGTGCAAATGCACAGCAGGAATTCAAGGAAAACCACGCGGCCGTGCCCCGCGTGACGGGTGGAAGTTGGTTCCTCCTTGGTTTTCTGCCAAGCCTGCAGCGCGCGGGCCTCCGGGAATGTCAGAAGCTCCCATCCCGGAGGCTTCATCCGCCTCTTCTTGCAGAAAAGTTCCACTTCCTCCCACACCGCGCGTGCCGGCGGCTTCTCTTAATACCCCTGGGAAGCACCGCCTACCGGGGACGTTGTGACCGGAGACTGTCACTGCCGCGGCCAACGGGGGCACGGCGATGGTCCCCCGGGAGCGCCTGCTGTCCGCTGTGCACCCCACGGCTGCAGGGGCCGGGGCGCCGTGGGTCCCTCCTGGGGATGCAGGTCTCCTCTCCTGGGGCTAAATGGCCGGAAGTGCAATTCCTGGGTCACACGGTATTTCAACTTCTTATTTCTTGAGGCGCCTGCACACCGTGCTCCGGGGTGGCTGCGCGGGTCCGCACGCCCACCCCAGGGCCCGAGGCCCCCTCGCTCCGCCTCCTCTGCGTCCACCTGTGGTTTCCTGTGTTGCTGACTTCCGCCGCCTGACAGGTGTGAGGCGGGCTCTGCACTTCCCTGATGCCAGGGACGCGGGGCCTCGGTCCACGGGCCTGTTGGCCGTCCGCGTGTCGTCTTTGCTGAAGTCCCCGTTCAGCTCCTCTGCCTGTTTTTCAGCTGGATTATTTGGGGTCTTTTGCCGGGTTGCAGGAATTCCTGGTGGACCTTGGATAGTATCTCCCCCCATTGGTGTTGGTCACCGCGGGAAGCGCCACCTCTTTAAAGCAACCCGAGGGCTCCTTTCAAAGAACAAATGCTCAGTCTGTCCCATGTTGTCAGTGACTTTTCAAGGAGCGCCCTGGAGGCCGGGGCCCTATGAAGCTGATAAAGCTATTTGCTGAGGAGGTTTGTCAGCATCTGGCAAAGGCCATGAGCACAGCACTTAGAGGGTTTTCACCGAAGCTCGTTCTGAAAGGAAACACTGGCTCGGGGGCTCGGGGGCTCGGGATCAGGATGCTCGGTGTCCCGCCCGCTGCACCCCCACCCGGCTCCTGTCCCCCCTGTACCTCTAGAGAGCAGATGCTCCTCTCTGCTGAGTGTGGATGTTAACGTGATTTCACTGACGACGTTTAACAGTTTTCTCTTGGGGGGAAAAAGTGACTTTACCTGAAAGCCACTTGTTTTTTCAAGTCTATAGATAAAAAATTGCATTTTTGACCGATGCTTGCTTTTGACCAAAAAAATAGAACAGGCGAGGCTGGCGGAGCGCTGGCGCGGCGGGAGGGTGCTCCAGGCAGGCCCGAGGCTCTGCACCCAGAGCAGAGGCCCAGGAGGAGGGCGTGCTGTCCTGCGCACCCCCCCCCCCGGGACCTTCCAGGGAGCAACCTCCCCGCTTTGTCCTGACAGTTTCCTGCGTTGAGCGACGCCGAGGAAGATGAGGCTCCTTCCTTGACGATGGGTCAGCCGCACTGGGGAGAGGCGGTAAAGCACAGCACCCCGCAGGAAGGCTCCCCCCGCCTGCGCAGGCGGCCGCCGGGCGAGGTCCCCTCCCGCCAGGGCGAGGGCCCCGAGCCCCGGTCCCTGCGGCTTGCACGCGCCCCCCGGAGCACCCCATCTCTCCGGGCAGGGCCTGGGCGCTCGGCCCCCCTGCAGACCCCGCGGCTCTCCGACGGCCGGGCCTCCAGGGCGGCTCGCGGGCAGCCAGGACCCCGCTCAGGGCACCCCGCTCCCAAGGAGGACCCGCCCGCGCAGGCCTCGGTCACGCGGCAGCAGCACGTGGAGTCCTGCGCACCAGGGAGCTGGCCTGGCCCCACGGGGCTGCCCGGGATCCCGAGCGCGGCCGGGAGGAGGCGGAGGGACCCGGAGAAGATGGCAGCCGAGGTAGGACTGTCCCTGTCCTGGACCTTGGCCCTGATCCAATCCCAACCCTGTCCCCGACCTGAACCCGACCCTGACCCTGTCCCCAACCCTGTCCCAGGTCCAACCCCGACCCTGTCCCTGACCAGTTCCAGACCCCAACCCAGTCCCTGACCTCGACCCTGTCCCTGACCAGTCCCCAACCTCGACCCTGTCTCTGACCAGTCCCTGACCTCGGCCCTGTCCCCAACCCTGTCCCAGATCCAACCTCAACCCTATCCCCAACCAGTCCTCAACCAGTCCCCGACCTCGACCCTGTCCCTGAGCAGTTACCAACCCCAACCCCGTCTCTGACCCTGTCCCTGACCAGTTCCCAACCCCGACCCTGTCCCCAATCCTGTCCCAGATCCAACCCCAACCCTGTCCCTGACCAGTTCCAGACCCTAACCCAGTCCCCGACCTTGACCCTGTCCCTGACCAGTCCCCAACCTGAACCCAACCCTGTCCCCAACCAGTCCCCAACCTTGACCCCGTCCCTGACCAGTCCCCGACCTGAACCCGATCCTGACCTTGTTCCCAACTCTGTCCCAGATTTAACCCCAACCGTGTCCCTGACAAGTCCCTGACCTTGACCCTAATCCGGACCAGTTCCTGACCCCGACACTGTCCCTGACCAGTCCCTGACCCTGACCCCACCTGGAGGCTCAGGGTTCTGTGGAGGCAGCTGCCCTTCCCCCACGGCTCAGCCTTTCTGATGTCCTGGGCCTGCCCCACCTGCTCCGAGGGGCCAAGTGACCCCATGTAGAGCACCTGTGACCCCAGGTCCCCTCTGCTCCCCAAGCTCCCGAACTTGCTGCTGTGAACCCTCCGGGCCTTCTCAGGGTGAGGCAAGTGGTCCCAGACAGCCGCGGCTCTTTCCATTCCTCTGAGTGAAGATCTGGGGCCACCCCCATGGCCCCTGCCCCCCCATGGCCCCTGCCCCCCCTTTCCTGCTGGGAGCTCTGCTTCCCCACCTCCTCCGATGCCCTGGTGTTCTAGAAGGTTCTGAGAAGGGCACCGCTAGGGGACTTAGGCCTGGCCCCTCACACAGGGCCTCAGCTGACCCTGGGTCCGGGTCTGCTGCCCTGGGGTGACCCGTGGGCGGCGGATGGCCTGGGTGCCCGGGGGCCGGACGGGTCCCCCTGGGAAGTTGTCCTGCACTCTGCTGCGCCTGCTGGACTCCTTGCTGCCTGGACAGCCTCCCTCCAGGTCTCCTCGGGGGGCGCGGGGCTGCACGTGCCCGGGCCGCCACAGGACGCCCGGCTCCCCCGCCCTGCTGCTGGGCCTCGCTGGCGTTTCTGGGCGCCGCTACGGGGAGCGTCCTTGAGGCCCCCGCCCTGCGCCGCGGCCGCCCTGGCTGTGTGGGGAGCCGGCCTCGCAGGGCAGGGGAGCCCCGCCCGCCATCCCGAATGTCTGCCCACCGTCGGGTCCCCGTGGGCTGGTGCTCCCGCCCGCTTCCAGGAGAGCTGTGAGGTGGCTGGAATGTTCCAGAGCTGATGAAGGCGCGGGGCCCGAGGGTGTCCCTGTGGTGGACATGGTCGCGGGGGGGCAGCCTCTGGACGGCTGGGGTCCCTCGTGGGCGCCAAGCTCCCAGCACCCTGACTGCTGGGGTGGCCACAAGCTCCCCGGAGGCCCCCTCTGCTGTCCTGCTCCGCCTACACCTCCGCGGGCAGCCCCAACACCAGCCTCTCCGGGTCCTCGGGGGTCGCTCCTATTTTTCATGCTTTCAGGCTATTTAGAGGACCCTGGAGCGCTGGAGACCCCAGATCTCCCTTCCCCCCGGTCCCTGCCCCAGGGCACCCTGGTCCGGTCTGGCTCAGCCACCTGCACCCCCCGCCAGCTGCTCCCACTCTGGTTCCCGGGAGGCCGTCGTCTGGGTTTGGAGCAGGGCTGTTCCTGGCCTGGACCCCTCCCCGCTGCAGCCGGGCACAGTGGGGGGACCCCAGGCTCTGGGCTGGCCCCCCTTGGCCCTGCTCCCCTCCCCCCCACCTCCTGTCTGTACCCTCATCAGACTGGGTCCCGGGTCCTTACGGGCCCCAGTCACACCCAGACGCAGCCCTCCGGGTGCTGCAATGCCCGGCAGGTGGCAGTGGGGGTGCCGAGAGCCCGAGGGCAGGGGTGGGCGGGGGCGCAGCCCGCGGGGCCTGTGTCCCTTACGCGGGTCTTCTCAGAGCTGCTCTTCCTCCCCCAGAGGGAGCGCGTGCGCCAGTGGGAGGCCCGCCAGCTTTGGGACATCGAGGAGGCCACTCAGCATGAGCTCACCTTCCAGGACGAGTGACCTCGGTGCCGGCCCGGAGGCGCCGTGTTCTGGAGCCCCCGCCGCGGCCTATAGGCTTGTCTGGCCTCTGTCCATCCGTCTGTCCATCTGCAAGCCCCAGCTCATCCTCGGGGCTGGCCCGGGTCCCCCTTGGACCACCGGCCTCCCTACCTGGTGCCTCCCGAGTAGGGGGTCCCACTACTCAGACCCCACATGTGGCTCTGGGGGGCACCACCGGACAGCGGGACAGAGGGAGCGGAGCCCACAGGGGATGTGGATGCCCACCGCCCACCACCCACCCCGGCAGCCCCGTCCCATGCCACCTTCCCTGGTGTGACCCAGGGACAGGGTGACATATGTCGAAAGCAGGGAGCATGGTGACCTCCTTGGCACATGGGCGGGTGCCGCCCCCCCACCCCACCTCGCAGGGAGGGCAGGCCTGAGGCTCCACGGGAGGCGGCTCCATGGCACGGGGGCGGGGGTGGGGTGACGAACCCAACCCCCTGCAGCTCGGGGCACCTCGGCCCCACCCCTGGGCAACGTTGGGGTCCCGCCCAAGGGCCGGAGGGGTCTGGACCCTTGTGCCATGAAGAGGAGGAAGCGGGGCGCCCACGGCTCGCCACCCCAGGCCCGCCTGGCGCAGACGTGTCGCGGGCCGCCGTGCACACCTAGGCTTTCACCTTACGAATGTGTTCACCCCCCACGGTATTTGGACACACTTGGTGGTTGGTTTTGTCTTTGTGTCCTGGCAACGGGAAGGAGAGCGCTGGGGCTGCCTCCCCTGGGTTGCCTCCAGGCCTGACGGGCGTGGCCCGACTCGCAGGGACAGGGACACAGCAGACACAGCGCTCAGCTGGGACAGTCGGGGGCACCCCGGAGCCTGGACCGGGCCCAGCAGGCGGGGGCGGGAACCCGGCTCTCCCTGCGGTGGTTCTGAGGTCTCCAACCTGGAAGGCCGGGTCCTCGCAGGGCGGGGCGGGGCCTGCGGTCACTGGGCGAGTCACCCTGAGGCCACCTGCGTGTGCTAAGCGCTTGGACACTCCTGAGTGCCCCGGGTGGGTCCTTCCCAGCTCCCCCTTGTCTCCGCTTCTTCCTTTGTTATGGCAATTAACGGATTGGGGAAACAGGTTTATTTTCCAAGCCACAACAGCGGAAAGTCTGGCTGTAACTGCACACCACGCAATAAACCCTTCGGGGCCAACCCTCGCCCGCTTTAGTGCTGGGGTAATAACCCCCCGAGCGTCTGTGTCTGATGCGAAGGGATTCCGATGCGGAACCGAGTGGCTTTCTGGTCTTGCTTCGGTCCTTTGAGAGGTTCAGATGCAGAAGGAGGCCAGGGAGGAGGAAAGCAGGATGGAGGGACCTCAGGACGGGGCAGGGCGGGGGGGGGGGGGTGTTCCTGAGCTTGGAGCCCCAGGCACCCCGGGGGAGGGGTTCTGCTCCTCTGATGCTTTCCCAGGTGCTCCTGGGGCATTTCCTCCCCTGTACGACGGCGAAGCAGACTCTTGCATTTCTACAAAGGGGCCCAGTTAGTGCTGGAAATGCGACCTCACGGGGCGTCTCCCCCCACAGCGTGGATCGGGGTGTGCTCCGGTCACGGGAGGCGTGGCCGGGAAGCCACCGGAGGAAGGAGCGAGGACTGTGCCCGAGGTTGGGACGAGGTCCCCAGGGAGGACCTCCCGTCCGTGCCCACCACCTCTGCGACCCCTGCGTCCCCGGGCCCCGGGCCACCCGCAGACGGGAGGGTGCTCCGGAGGTGGGCGCCGCTGCTTGGGCCGCGGGGTCTCCCCTGAAGCAGCCTGCTTTCCCCTCGGGCAGTTTCATTTAACGGGAAAAGAGAACTGACCCCCTTCTAACCTAATCTTTATCTAAAGGACACATTTTTTCCCCCTAAAATACGCTATTGACCCAGGGCGTCCGACGCTCACACAGCTTGTCACTGTGTCAGAACCCGCTTTGAGGGGCTGCCCGCGTTGGGTTCAGGTGACCTGGCTAAGGACATCTGGTTTGTAGACCACTCGCCACGGAAGTCTCAGCACCTGTTTTAAGTTTCTTTTCGCTGCAAAACAAAGGCTCAAAACAGCCCGTGTTTGCCTCGGTTCTGGTGGCTCAGCTGCGCCTCTGCCTGGGCTCCTGCAGGGGACGTGCAGCAGGTGCTCATGCGGTGCACCTGGGCACAAAGGGGGACCCCAACTGCGTGTGGGGGTGCAGGACCCGGGGCCCCGTGCCTTCCCAGGCCCGCCCGGGTGTACATGGCCGCCTCGGCTTGCAGCCGTGTGGGGTGGGACACAGACCGTCCGTGCTCCGGATCCCCTGCTCGAGGGCCGGCATGGGGTCTAGCGTGCCAGGTGGTGGCTGAGGGCACAAGCAGGGTCACAGCGTCCCCCACTCACAGGTTTGGGGGCTGCGGGCAGCTCCAGAATCGTGTCTTTTGTGCGAGCCTGCTCAGCACGAAGCATCTTGTACTAACGTCTACCAATTCTGTTAGAGCCCTACAGGCCGCTGCGTGGGCTAAAGGGTCTTAGCGTTACGAGCTCCCTGCTAGCTAGCAGCCGGCGGGCTCAAAGTCCTGGGCGCGGCATCCGAGCGGGCACTCGCTGCAGCTCTGCTAGCTGTGTAATCTCCTTTAAAACATATACTAAAAATAAATTAAAAATAATAAAACGCAAACCGCCCGGAAGGGGGACACAGTACCTCCGCGTTCTCACCGCGCGCGTCCCTCACGGAGGCTCTGTGGATGTGTGTCTGCCTGTTCCCTGGCGGGTTGTAGCCCTTTCTCGGAGGATTCGATAAATGGCCTGTTTCTCCGGGGTGGGGGGGTTATGCTCTTCATAAGGACTTTTTAAATTTCTCTACTTTGGGGCAGCCCCGGTGGCACAGCGGTTTGGCGCCGCCTGCAGCCTGGGGTGTGATCCTGGAGACCCGGGATGGAGTCCCACGTCGGGCTCCCTGCATGGAGCCTGCTTCTCCCTCCGCCTGTGTCTCTGCCTCTCTCTCTCTGTGTCTATGAATAAATAAATAAAATGTTTAAAAAAATAAATAAATTCCTCTACTTTGGATTGACTTTATTTGAACTTATGGAGATGCAACCAGAGGAGCCACGCGTTACACTTGTGATGACTGATTTTATGTGTCAGCTTGGCTGGGCCACTGCACCCCCGTTTGGTCAAACGCCAGTCTAGATAGTCCCGATGTCGTGCTGAAGGTACGGTTTTGATGCGATGGACGTGTACATGGACCCTGACTGAAGCAGATCAAGCTCCATCACGTGGTGGGCCACGTCCAATCAGTTGAAGGCCTTAAGAGAAAAGCCTGAGGTTCCCCCCCCCCCCCGCCCCGAGGAGGAGGGATTTCTGCCTTCCGGCGGCCTTTGGGCTCCAAATGCAATGTCAGCCTCTCCCTGGATCTCCACGTGCCGCCTGCCCTGCAGACGGGACCTGCCAGCCCCGTGACGGGCCCTCGGTGCTGTCGTGTGCTCCTACCCCTCAGGATGGCGCACACCCCATGATGTGTCTGCTGACCTCTGAGGGAAGATGCGGAGCAAGTGGGGGCTGGAAATTCGCCCGGGGTCTCGGGGTTGTCAGAGGAGGCACCGCCCTGCCCGCCCTCCCTCCCTCCCTCCCTGCTGACGGGGCTGGGGCTCGGCCCTACAGGGTGTGCCCAGCCTGGGCCACACTCTCGCTCTCATGTTCTGCAGGGTCTGGCCCAGTCCCTCCCCAGGGAGGGAGACACCCGTCCCCTCCCATCCCCAGCAGCTGGTGGGGGGTTGTCCCTGTGCCAGTCCTGCTACTCTTGGCCGCCATGTGGGGGTAGAAGGTGGCTTCCCCGGACGGTAGCATTGGGGGTGTCCCGGTGGGGTGGCCCGGCAAGTCCTTCCTGACACTGCGGTCCAGGGCCTCGCAGCCCCTCCCGAGCCTGGCCCCGATCTTTGCCCGTGGAACTTGGCTTTAGGGAACAGCCTGGCTCCACCTGCTGTCCCCCCACTGGCCCCCACCATCCACCCTTGGTTTCATTCAACCAGGTTCCCTGCCCGGGAGGACACGGCTTGGTCTGAGGACGGCAGGCGGTACGAGTCACCCTCCCGGGGCCCTGGCTGGAAGCAGAGGCCTTCCCCCCCCCACCCCGCAGCCGGCGGTGGGTGCAGCAGCGGAGCCCGGCCAGGAGCCCCCTGTGCCCACACGGGAGGGGCCCACGGTCTCCCGCAGGCAGGCGTGTCTTCCGCACCCTCCCCCCCCGCCCCGCCACCCCGTGGTGCTCGGTTAGGATGACCTCAGGGTTTAGTCAAGCAATTTTTTTTCCTTTATTTTTGTTAAATAAGATTCCAGAAAGTATAGTGCAAACACTCGGTAGAAAAGTCGCAATTAAGAAATGTACATTCACGTTAACATTTCAGTCCGTTCACTGGTTCGTTAATAAAAATAGGACCAATTATTGGGTGACTTGTCTCGGTCGGACAATCTTGGAAAAGACTGGAAGGAACAGTGTGGGGTTGACATAAAAATAGACCCGTATTGATTATACAAATCTATTGAGAGACGCCACCCGGTGACAGTGAGCTGCCATCATCTGACCCCGTCACCCGGGTCCGTGTCTGGAGAGACGTTCTCGAGCGCTGGCGGGGAGCGTGTCCCCCGGCCCACCGCCCCGCATCCCCGAGGGCTCGGCCACGCCCAGCCCAACACGGACGGCGCAGGGGCCCACACGGCCTTTCTTGGCGATCACCAAACTCCGGGGGGGTCGGGGGGGTGCTGGGGTTTACCTTCAGCGAGAATGGAAGCTACTCGAGGTGGTGGCGACCGTTACGTCATCTTCCTTGTGCAACGCGGCCAGCAGTTGTGCCGTCGTGTGGCCAGCGGGCGGGGGCCCCAGGCTGCGCTGTGTCGCGGGGACACTCTGCGGCCAGCCGGCAGATGGCCCGAGGCGGGCCTGTCCCTCCGTGCATGTGCATGCTGCGTGTTTACGTTCACGGTGGGCTTCACACACACGGGGTTTCATGGCATGCAATTCTGAGCGCGTGTGGTGTGCAAGCCCGTGGTTTGCACAGGGTGAAGGCAAGACCGCCCACCCCCCCCCCCGCCCCGGGACTGACACTCGGGAGTGTGGGCTCCTCGGTGTGTGCGAGAGGCGGCGGTGGGCTCCCTCGGGATTCCCGCCACTAGGGACGCTCCCCTGAGACGTGGGCTTCGTGCCCAGGGCCCGGGGGCTGCTGGTGGAGGCAGGAAACGAGTTCTGGCTGCTGGTGGGCCCGTGGTCCGCACCGTGAGGAGCGAGAGCCCACGGACACGGCGCTGTGAGTGGCTGCTCTGCAGATCGTCCGCACGGCACATGCAGTGGCGAGCCCCGGAGGCCCCCCAGATCTCTCAGGGGGCTGGTCCCGGACGACCCCTCTGTTTAGACCTCAGCTCTCAGCAAACGAGGCGAGCTTCAGAGGTCTGAGCGGAAGGAGCGGAAGGAGCCAGTTTCCTACCAGCCTCCTCGATCCCCATCTTGCCTTCCCCACGTTCTCCGGAAAACCTGCCTTTGGCTGTCCCCCGACCCGTAGGAGGGAACACAGGCCACCCACCTGGGGCCCGGGGCGTGAGGCACCGGATGGCTGCACCACCAAGCGAGACAGAGCAGAGACGGCCAGCTGCACCCACAGCCTCCCGGGGTCCACGTGCCTCGGGCCCGGGACTTGGGGGCCACTGGGCTCCAGGTGTGCAGGGAAGCGTGTGTGGTCTGGGGGCTCCCGGGGGCCCTCGTCGCCCTAGGTGATGCCAGAAGGCCCAGGCAACTGTCCTCCCTGCTGAAGGAGGCTCTGTGCTTTCCCAGGACAGACTGAGGCTGGAAAGTGGGACATGGTGGGGCTCCTGGGGCTGGCCTCCAGGGTCCTGGGGGGACCCACGGTTGGGGACGGCGTTCTGAAGGAGGCCGAGCCCGGGGCACACCCAGGGGTGGGCTGGGCGGCAAACCTCTCAGAACCAGCCTGCCAGGGGCCCTCCACTGCAGCGGGCCCCCGGGTGCAGACCATCACGACCAACGCAGGGTCGGCAAAGAGCCGCTGGGCACGGTGGAAACCGAGGCTTGGGACAGACAGGCCTGCCACTGTCCCTGCCCCGGGCATGGGTCCCGGCCCCGGCGCTGCGCTGTGGGCTCGCTCAAGTCATGGCCTCTCTGGGCCCGAGACCTCAGGACACCGCAGGGGCCGTGGGTGGTGACGGGTGCACAGGGTGCGGGCGCTCTGAGGCTGCCGCGTACATGGGTCTCAGTCACGGGGACCACACGGGAATTCCAGAGGAGCCGCGTTTTCACTACACATGCGGATGACCACTGGCCTTTCCTGCAGCTTTTGTGCGAACCTGCAGAACCCAGCGTGGGGCAGGGGCCACGCACAGATCTCATAAAGGACTAAAGGGCTGTTTCTAACCCGCCCCCCCGCCGGTGGAGGTGACAGGGGGCTGCCCCCGTGGTCAGCACTGACGACCAACACGTGCTTCTGGACAACTGAGAACGTCACCTGAGAGGGCCCCCGTCCGTGGACGTCTGCACGGCAGAGAGACAGTGGACATGGCCTGGGGGGGGGGGGCTCCAGCGTGGACCAGGAGCAGCCGCGGGCAGGCCCAGGCTCCTTCCAGCCCCGCCTCGGGAATCCCCGCGCCCGCGCCCCCGGCCTCCCTGCCCGGCTCCACGGGCACCAGAGGCCCAGGCAAAACCAAACTAAAAGCCGCCGCACAAAGGGGAGGTGACGCGCAGCGCCCGACACCCGGCGCCTCTGCGACGAACCGCACACGGACTCTGGGGGAAACATCCGGACAAGAGCCTTCGCTCCTCGCCGGGGCCACTGCTGGGCCCCTGGCCACGTCCTGCCGAATACCCACCCAGGGCAGTCTGCTCCCTGCACGCTCCCTCCATCTCGGGACACACAACTGCTTTTCACTTTGGTTACGCTAGACCGTGTGCACGCGTGAGCACACGCACCCTCACATGTGCACACACACACGCATCCACACGCCAGATGCATACACGTGCACACCCACCCACGTCCACACAGACACGTGCACACCCACACGCATCCACATACACGCACACAGGTGCACACACAAGCTCGCACACACATGTCCACACAGACCATGCACACCCACACGCATCTACACGCACACAGGTGTGCACGCACACCTGCACACGTCCACACAGACCATGAGCACACACATGCACACCCACACGCATCCACATACACGCACACAGGTGCACACGCAACACAGGCATGCACGCACACCTGCAGTCCACACAGACATGTGCACACACATGCACACCCACATGCATCCACATACACACAGAGGTGCACACGCAACACAAGCGCACACCCCCAGCACACAGCCACACACGTGCACACCCCTGCATGCATGCACACCTGCACACACACAAACACACGTACACGCATGCACATATACACGCGTGTGCGCACACACAGCTGTGAGTAAAGCATGGCTCCAGCAGAGCAGTTAGTTTATCTCTGTGAACAGGGCTGGCGGGGAACAGGTGGATTATAACTTTGAAGGAAATCACGAAACGCAGGTGTACGAGTCATTACCACGAGGCTGTTAGTGAGGCCCAGTCCCAGAATGTGGCCTCTGCTATCAGGTTGACGTCAATGAACCGGCCGTGGCGGTGACCCACGTGCCCTGGCACCACAAGATCGGCGTCCAGCGTGTGCACACACGGGCTGGCTTCCGGAGCTGGGGCGTCCCTGGGAGCACCCTGAGGGCGGGGGGCCTGGGGCTGGGCACGCAGGGAGGAGCTAGGGGCCGCGGCCGGTTTGACGGCACCCTGCCCCGCGCTGCAGGCCACACCCACTCGGGCACCCTGGCACCCCTACGTTCTCACAGTCGTGGCTGCGAGGCCCCCACCATCTTCGGGCACAGGGCCTGCCTGTGGCTCCTCCCCACCATCATCATTCTCACAGAATCAGGGACCCCCCTGCCCCCCCAGGGGCCTGCCGGTCAGCAGCAGCCCCCCACCTCCTAGGTCCATCCTAGCAGAATCCCCAGCGGGGGCTTATGCACGAGGCTGAGCCACACCGAGCCTCCCTGACCATCCGCCCCTCGCCCTCCGGGACGGGGGGCCTCAGGCTGCCTGATTTCAACCCCCCAACCTAAGACTCGGGAAGGCAAATGCAAACCCCAAGATACTGTGAAAAGAAAGGTCACATTTCCACGTGCCGGCCAGTCCCCCAGAGGGTGCTGGGCGCAGACTCCCCGCGTGAACCTGCAGCTGGGGAGGCGGGGAGGCAGGATGTCCGAGCCCGGGGACGCGGCCCTCCGCTCCAGCTTCCGGCCGGCCACCGTTTGCCCCTCATTGATTTCACCAAACCAAACATTTTGAAATCCACTGCCTCTAAGAAGATTGATTTTTTTTTTTTGCTTTGTTAGTTTCGTCATGTTTTTAATTGAAGCCACTATAAAATTGGCTCAGGTCAGTTTCCGGGGTGACCTTCTACAGCGCGGACCGGAGCTAGCAGCGCTCAGAGGGCTGTTTGGTGCACGGCGGGGGCGCGCCCCTTCCCGACCCCTGGGCGCCAGCAGGTGCACGTTCAGGAGGCAGTTCCCTCTCAGGCCCTGCCACACCGGGAGGGGCCGGCGGGACCCCGACTCAGGGAACCACAGGGACACACGCTGGAATGCACACGGGTCCGGGACAAATGCACAAGGCCGCTGGGACCCTTTCTCCTCGAGCCGCAGGACAGTGTGGGGGTTTCCTACCACTTCCAGGGCGCTGATGGGACGGGAGCACCACAAGCCTATCGGGGGAAGCAGCATGTGGTGCCTCCGGCTGGGTCCTGTCCAGGCGCAGAGCCTGCATGCCAGGCAGGTTACCAGGGAGGATGGGCATCCTGGTCCCGAGGCACACCGCACCCCGCGGACACGTGGACATGGGGTTCAGAGGGTCACAGATGTGCACAGAGCTAGGCCTTCCTTGCCTCTCCCCTTCCTCGCCCCAAGGGTGACCCGAAGCACACCCCACAGAGGGAGGTGCCTGCGCGGGGTCTACAGGAGGGGCCGGGGCCCCCCGCAGCATGGCTGACCTCAGGCAAACCCGCGCACATGGCTTGTGTTGGAATTAACGCATCTGCTTTGGACCAGGCTTGTCTCCACAGTTCAGTTAGTTATTGCTTCTAGTGACAGAAGGTGTCTGGAAGCCCTGGTGGCTCTGGAGTCTGCAAACCCGCAGGCTCCAGGCGCCTGGCCCGTGGGGGCTCACCCTGCAGGACGCAGACCCCATGCAGCCCGGCAGGCCCCTGGAAGCGTCTGGAAGGTCGGGGCCGCCTCCTACTCTACTGAGGTTGGGCATAAGCAGCACACTAGGGTGGCCGAGGGACACGCAGGCCCCCCCAAAGTGCCGGGGCCTCCGCACGCTGGGATGTGGCCCCCTAGGAATGTCACACATCTGGGTGAAGCGTGCCATTTGCACGGGGGTCGGGCTGTTCTCAGTTTTGGTGGGAGTGAACAGGTGCCACTTGAAACAGTGCACTATTTACAGAGTGTCTTAAATCATTTAGACAGAACCCTACTCGACAGGCTAACGTCTGTCCGCAAACGCTGTACAAGATCAAAAATAAATAAGGCAATATCATACAGTCTCATCACAAGGAAAGAGGAAGACGTCGTGCACCCGACCCCGAGGGACACTGTGGCAGCTCCCGCGCCCTCGGGGTCGGCAGGGCCTGGACTGCTGATGACACAGGTGGAGGCTGGGGCCTCACCACCATGGGAGGCTCCGGAGCTCCTGCTTCCATGGACCCCGGGTCCGGGCCCGGCGGGCAGGGCTGGGGGGCCGCTGAGAGTCTCACGGGCGTCCACGTGTCCCGGCGTCTGTGGCGTGTGTCTGCGGAGCCACCAGACCTCCCGTGGCTCGTGGCCGGGTCCCTGCACCTCTCAACAGCAACCTCATGCTCGGGCCGTCCTGACCGCCCTGCCTCTGCGTCCACTTCGAGGGGGCAGGTGGCCCCAGACGGCGCAGGACCCCGCGCCCAGCTGGAGACCCGTTGCCTCCATTCCACCTATAAAGTCACCCTTGCCACGTGACAGCACGTCCACGGGATCGGGGCCACGGTGCCGTCCACCGCCCCCCTGCGCTGCCCCGGCTGGAGGCTCGGCCACCACTAGCCGGCGGGCGCCGGGTCCTCAGCCCTGCAGCCCATGGGCCACATGCTCACAGGACTCCTGAGATGACTCGGTTTCCTCTGGAGGACTCACGCCAGGTCACTAAAGGCTCTGCAGGGCGTTGGCTGGGCCACGGAGTCCTTCCCAGGGTAGTCACGGCCGTCGCTGGCCCAGCGCAGAGCCGTCTAACCCACCCGCTTCCGTCCTGAGTCCCACACCGCTGGCCTGTCCACGCACCCCCGGCGGCCGGCCGAGCTGGCTGCCCTGCAGAGGCCCCCGCCTGGCAACACGGCCCCCGGGGAGGATGGCACGCCTCCCGGGCCCACGCCGGAGCAGCCCAGGGCCGTCCTGGGGGCTCAACCAGAGCGAGCCCAGCCCTCCCCGAGGGCCACGCTGCCGTCCTCCCCGGGTCGGGGTCTACGGCCCGACCTTCCCCGTCCTTCCCCATGCCGGCCACCGCCCCGGGGCCCTAGCAGCACATCCCTGGGTCTGCACCTGTCGCACAGGAGGCCCCCGGAGCTCCCAGAGTCACCTGCGGCGCGCCCCCTGCAGACGGAGCCCCAAACTCACTCTGGAATCTTCCGCCCCGGGGAAGCCCTCTCTCGGGCATGAGGTTCGCTTGCGTCAATCCACGCGGGCGTGTGCTGTTGTGAGAAGAGCAGGGGCCCTAGAGGCCGGGCGGGACGAGGATGGTGGCACCGCCCGCTGTTCCTCCCCCAGCGAGGGGGGCCAGGGTCTGCGGGGCTGATGCCATCGGGGGTCGAGGACAATGCAGAACGGCGGGCAGAGCAGGATGCTGGTCATGACACGGAGGCGCAGCTCGGGGCCCCAAGAATTCCAGAAGACCTGCCTCTGGCTCTCAGCAAACACGGGTCCCGAAGGAGGCCGGCGCCCCCGTCTGTGCAGCGGGGCTTCTCTGTTCCCCCCGAGCCGCTCGTCGCAGAGCCAGCCCCCCGCCCCCGGCTGCCGCGGCCCACACGCAGGCTTTGCTCCTGCTCTCCCGGCCGCGGCTCCACGGCTCCGCGGAACCGAAGCCAGCAGCTGCGAAGGATGTTCTCGGGGTCTCCACGCCGGACGCTGAGCCGACCCCACGGAAGACAGGACCGAGCCGGCACGGTCCCCTGAAAGCCTCAGCATCCAGGCGGGCAGGGCTCCCCCTCGCCCGTCGCTGCCCAGCTGCTTCGGGTCACGCCCGGGCGACACCCCTTCTGCGGCCCAGTGTGGCCCCTGGCCCTGCTCCGTGGGCCGGGCTGGTCCCTGCTGGAGCGCCTCAGCCCCAGCAGCCGGCGTGGGTTCCGCTAAGCCTCCTTCCCCGCTGCTCTGGGGGGCAGGTGCTGGCCGTGGGGGCACGGGGGGAGCCCCGAGCCCTGCAGAGCCCCCAGCCCGGCTCGGACCGGGAGGCCGGCCATGGGGGCCACCGGGGGCGGGCCCGTAGCCAGTCTGGCCTGGAGGCCGGCTCGCCCGTAAGCGCACATCTTCCGCTCTGCGCCCAAGGACCTGGCCTGGGAGCCGTTCCCATCAGTCCGGCCTTCCAGGAAGTACGTAAGCATCTCGCCCTTGCCTTTCACGCTGACCTTCCCGCGGCACACGAAGCGGTACGTGCCCCTTCGCAGCAGCCGGTGAACCTCCTCCGTCACCTGCAGCAGAGGAAAGCAAGCGAGGGTCCCCCGGGGTCAGCAGGGGGCGACCCCAGGGGCAGGGCCACACAGCAGGTCCCTCCTGCACCCCCCGCGGCCTGTCCCCAACATCAGAGTGCCAGGGGACCCCAGGGCTGAGCCTGGGAAAGCAGCGCTCTGCGGGGGCTGGGGCGCCGCGTGCACGGCCAGGCTGGACGGGGCACGGGGAATGTGGCATCAGGCCAGGTGTGGGCCCCGTGGCGCCCCAGGGCCCAGCCAGAGCCCCGGACAGGGAGGAGCAGGACAGGCGAAGCTTAAGCGCTAACATCGGAGCCTCCCGCTCGCTCTCACTTCTTGCAGGAAAGAGCCAAACGTCTGGCTTGGGCCCAGCAGAGCAGGGACGCGTAAGCGCAGCAACGATGGGGGTGCTCCTTAACACGGGGAGGGGTGTGCGTGGGGCGTGGAAGGGGTGGTCTCAGGGCCAGGTGGCAGGCAGGCCGGGGGCCCCGACGGAGGGACCGCCAGCTTCCCCAGCTGACAGGTGTCTGGCACGCTCCCACCGACACTAACACCAGGGCCGAGGCAGGGGCAAGGCGCCCCGTCTGCACAGCTCCCCTGACGCGGTCCTCTGCGGACAACGGGGCTTTCGCGGGACAGCGGAGTGCTTTGTCCCTCGGGGTCCAGACACAGACACGCTGGGACACGGTGGCGTGGGGTGTGGGAGGGACTCCGCCCAGCACGCAGGGTGGCCTCCAGGGGGTCACGGGGCTTGTGGGATCCCGTGAGGCAGGCCCCTGGGTCAGTGTGGGCACACGGCGCCGTGGTCGCCCAAAGCACCCTGTGGATCTCCCACGCTCTTCCCTCCACGCAGGGACTCGCATGCAGGGGCATGGAAGGCCGGTCCCTGCGGTGTGGCAGGAGGATGGGAAGACCCGAGGGGGACATGGGGTGGGCACGTGGCTGGAAGCCCAGCACCTGGGGGGAGGCCAAGGCCGTGAGGGGGCCACACCTCGGAGAATGGCCTCGGGAGCCACAGTGACAGCCCGGTCCTGAGCAGGGGAGGGGCTCGCTGGAATCGGAAGTCGGAAACTTGTAACTTCCACGTGGGCGTGGTCAGTGGCCGGCTGGAGGGTGAACGGGGCTTCGCCAAGGTCCCCGGACACGGAGGCAGGGCCCGGACTAGACACGTGGACCCAGGAGAGCTGGGGGCCCGCACCTGGAGTTCACGCAGGTCTCGGATGACCTTGCCAGGCCTCAGGGCAGAGGAGCCCAGTGCTCACAGAGCACCCTGCATCGACCATCCCAGCCCCGTGGGTCCCCAGAGCCCGGCCGCGGCCACACTGGGGGGGTGGACAGGCCCCTTCTTCTCCCAAGACCCCCAGGCCTGCTGTGTGCGCCCCTACAGAGCCAGGTTCACGGAGCTGGGAAGTCCTGAGGGCTGCCCCCACCTGTGCAGGCTGGGGCACCTGTGCACCCAGGGAGGGGCAGCCCCAGTCCCGGAGCTGGGGGGCGGGGGGTGCTACAGGGCACAAGGGCTGCCCACACTTGTGCACGGTGGGGAGGGGCAGCCCTGGTCCTGGAGCTGGGGGGCGGGGGGGCCCCATACAGGGCGAGAGGGCTGCCCAGAGGCTCCCAGCCCAGCAGCGCTGGAAACCCAAGGAAGCTGGTCCGTGTAAGGTGGGCAGGGTCCGGGATGCCGGGCGGCTCCCTGCCGTGACAGGACCCCAGCACCCGCCGCACCCGGCCTCTGCACAGGGCCCACCCCGCGGCCACGGGCACAGCAAGGTGTGCTCATGCGGACGCCGGCCTAGCCTGCGAGGTGTCCCTGCCGCGCAGCAGGTGGCAGGGAAGGGAGCCCGGGCTGGCCCTGCCCCCGCCTGCAGGCCGGCACCGCAGGCACTGCCAGGAGCTCACCTGGATTCTGCCCTGAACGCCGGTGCTGTCCATCCGACTGGCCACGTTGACCGTGTTTCCCCAGATGTCGTACTGCGGCCTTCGGGCCCCGATCACCCCGGCCACCACAGGGCCCACGTTGATGCCTGGAAGACAGCCGCGGAGCGCCGTCAGCAGCCGCCCCTCCCGGGGTCGTGGATTCCCAGGGTCCCCAAGCACGGAGCCCCTCCCGGAGCGGGGACCCACCATGCTGGGAAGAAGCCTCTGCTCCCACACAGAGCCCCGGGCTCCCGGCACCGTCCTGACCCGCACGCACGGTCCCATTTCCTGGAACAGTGGCCCCACGCGGAGCCTGCTCTGGGAGGCCTGTAGGACGGCAGCGTGCGGCCCGCAGGCCCCTTCTAAAAGGGACGGTCGCTCCCAACGGTTTCCCAGGCTGCAAACCCGCAGGCGCTCAGCGTGTGCAGCCCAGAACTGTTCAGTCTTTCGGGATGCTCCCACGTGGGGTGCGGAAGCCCCCTTCTCTTTACGAGACCTGCCTTGCAGCGGGGCTCCCCGGCCCTGCTGACGCCACGCAGTGTCCCCGTTCTGTACCTGCGCAGACTTTTCTGGACCAGCCCGGGGATGCTAGTGCTCTCAGTCACCGGCATCGTCAGCGGCCCAGACCCTGCAGTGGCGGGGCGGGGGGGGGGGGCGCTGGGGCTGACCCGGGACCTGACAGGAGCCCGAGGAGCCACTCCCCCCGCGGCTGCTGGGGCACGGACCCCACAGGGCCTGCCTGCTGGCTGGAAGGGCCTGCGCTCACAGCCGGACGGATCCCGCCACAGGGCGAGCAGCATCTGTGTCTCCCGACACGTGGAGCTCCAGCCCGAGGACAGGCCGGAGTGCGGCACTCGGGGGATGGGCACCAGGGCTCAGCTGTGCTCGCAGCCCCAGAGCACCCCTCACTCCAGCCGACGCCCACTCTAGCGAACCTCACACTCAGTTCTTAGGTTTTTTTCTGAATTTAGAACCACCATAAGCAACCACTTGGGAGCACCCTCCTCCGGCCACACGTGGACTCCAGTGTCTCAAGGGCACCCCTTTGGGTCCTAAGACCTAGGTGCCAGCTTCCAGAGGCAGCGGTCCCTGCGTCTCCAGGCCTCCCCCGCCCCCCAAGGCCTGAGCCTCCTTCCTGGGACCCAGACGTTGGTGGCGGGGGTGGGGGCGGGGGCAGGGGGTTTGGTGGGGGCGCGTGGAGGCCACCGGCCCGGGCGGGTGGGAGCCCGCAGACACCTACCGACGCGGAGCACGAAGTCGTTGTAAGACTGGTAGTTGATTTCATCCAGGACGTCGAACATCTCAATGGCGAAGTCCGCCAGCGTGCTGAGGTGGGAGGAGATGCACTTCTTTGCCTGCACACGAGCGGACGGAGGTTACCACGGGGCGTGTGCGAGGGCAAGTCTGGGGGCCGGGGACACTCGGCAGGTGCCCCACCATGCCCCCGGGGCGATCAGGGACCTGACCCCGCATGCACGACAGCGCCCACCGCCCACGGGCTGGGTGCCCACCTGGCGTCAGCCCCTGGACGCACTGGACCCCGCTGTGGGCAGGGGCGAGGGGCGGGGGCAGCCACGGTGAGTGACACCAGGCTCCACGGCCAGCCGGCTGTTGGGGTCCAGCCTCCCTGCACACGGAGCCCGAGGCTCTCACGGCTTTGTGCTGTTAGCACGGCCTCTCGCGTGTAAAACGACGACGACCGTCCACTTTTCCCTTTTGGCAGGAGCCCCGCAGGCTGCCCTCCCTCACTCGGGCCCCCTCCTGACCCCCTCCTGCATCAGGAGCTTCGGTAACCGTCAAGGCGCCCCCAGGGACCCACGGGGTAAGTCCGCAGGGTACGCGAGGCCTCGCTGCGCGTGGGTACATCCCGTGCGTTCCCACAGAGGCAGGATTCCCTGTACCCACAACCGTAGTTTAACACAAAGCAGCTCCACTGCCCGGCCCCGGTGCCCAAGCCCACGTGTTTGTCCCCCACCCCCGGCTCCCCCGGCCCCTGGGCCTTCCGCTGTGTCTGTAACTGTACCTCTTCCAGAATGTCCCATAAATGGGATCCTAGAGTATCAGCCTTTTCAGGTGGGCTTCTCGCCTCAGTGACTCGCACCCCAGGCCGCTCCACAGCTTTTCCGACCTCCCTCCTTGCTGGCGCCGAGTAACGTTCCCTTTCTGGATGGGCCACAGTGGGTCGATCATCCGCTCACCCAGCGAAGGGCATCCTGGTTGCTGGCGAGCTCCGGCGATCACGCATAGAGCTGCTGTGAACATCCACATCAGGTGCTCACGCGGGCACGGGGGGTCGCCTCCTGGGGTAGATGCCATGGCGCGTGGCCGCAGGATCGCACAGTAAGAGAATGTTTAGCTCCGGGAGAAACGGCCAGCCTGGCCGTCTGGGTGCCCCCTCGGCATCCCCACAGCAGTGAGTGCTCCTGCCCCTCCGCGTCCTCGCCAGCCCGGGGCGTCCTCGGGGCTCTGGGTCTGGGCCCTTCCGGTCCTTCAAGGCATCTCTGTATGCTTCACTCCTCCCGTGCACCTTCTTCAGCTCTTCTGCCCACTTTTTAATCGGGTGGTTTGTTTTCTTACTTGTTGCATTTTAAGATTCTCTGTACATTTCATTCTTATTTTTTTTTAAGTCGGCTCCGCACCCAACGTGGAGCCCCATGCAGGGCTTGAACTCACCACCCTCAGAGCAAACCCTGAGCTGAGATTAAGAGTCAGCCACTTCGCCAGCTGAGCCACCCAGACACCCCAGGACTTCTTTCTGTATTTTAGGTCCAAGTCCTTTACAGAATTTTAAATTCTTAATTACATCCAACATAACCATGTTTTCTTCCATGGATCATGCCTTTGGGGTTGTATCTAAAAACTCATCAAGGTCACCTACATTTCCTCGTAGGTTATCTTCTAGATGTATGACACGTCTGCTTTGACGTGGAGGTCTGTGACCCATTTTGAGTTGATTTCACACATCTTGCATTAACATCTATCTAAACATGGAGAGACGTGCAGGTGTCCCACCACTGTTCCCTGCAGGCTGCCGTTGCTCCACTCGCTCTTCCGTCAGAGATCCGTTGCCTCTACTGGTGGAGGGTCCCCGTCTGGGCTCTCGGTTCCACCGATCCAGTCGTCTCTTCTTCCCCGACACCACACCTCTGATCACGGCACCTTTCCATTCGACCCTGAGGTCAGCGGGATCCATCCTCCGACTCCCTTCTCTTTCTGCTGTACGACGTTACCCTGCTCCGGGTCTTCCATCTCCGTGTGATGTCAGACTACAGGGTTTTTGTAGATGTTCTTTATCCAGTTGACAAGGTTTCCGTTTGCAGAGTTTGCTCACTTGAATTAAAAAAATTATCATTTTATTTTTAAATCAAGAATGAGCGTTGGATTGGTCAATGGTTGTTCTGCATCAACTGACATGATCACGTGATCTCTCTTCTCTAACCTGTTGATCTAGTAGATTTCAGTAACTTTCTTAAATGTTACACCAGCCTTGGCGTCTTGAATAAATCCACCTTGTGTGTGGTCTATTGTTCTTTTCATACAATGTTGGATTCAACCGGCTAATGATTGCTGAGGACTTACGCGTCTCTACTCGTGAGAAATACTGGCCTGTGATCCTCCTTCCTTGTCGTTCCTTTATCTGGTTTTCATGTTACCGTAATACTGGACTCACAGAATGAGTTAGAAACTTCTACTTTCCGGAAGAGATTTTGGAGAACCGCTATAGTTTCTTCCCTAAATGTTCAGTGAAACATTCCTGTTCTTCCTCCAAACATGCTGTTTTGGAAGGTTACTAGTTATTGATGCAATTTCTTGAATAGATATGGGCCTGTTAAGACTTTTTTACTTCCCCCTTGTCAGAGTTTTGGTAGGTTGTGATTTTCGGGACATTGGTCCATTTGAACTAAATCATCACACTTGTGGGCACAGAATTATTCCTTTTTTTTTTTTTAACAGAATTATTCCTAACATACCTTTTCATCCTTTTATTGCCCATTGGTTCAGTACAACTGGCCCGACTTTCATTTCTAATATTAGTAACTTGTTTTTTTTCTCATTTAGCATAGCTAGAGATTATCAACTTTATAGGTTTTTCAAACATCCAGCTTTTAGTTTCATTGATTTCCTTTTTTAAAAAGATTGTATTTTTATTTATTTATTTATTTATTTATTTATTTATTTATTTATTTATTTAGAGCATGAGTGGGAGGAGGGGCAGGGGCAGAGGCAGAGGGAGGATTTCAAGCAGACTCCACACTGAGCGCAGAGCCTGATGCAAGGCTCGATCTCACTACCCTGAGATCATGCTCCGAGCTGAAATCAGGACTCAGACTCTTCACTGACTGAGCCACGCAGGCGCCCCATCATTGCTTTTCTTTAATACTTGCTTTCAGTTTCATTAATTTGTGCTTCCCCCCCCCCCATGCTTATCAGAGGCTTATACTGTTCTTTCTGTAGTTTCCTAAAGTGGAAGCTTACATGGTTGATTTTGGATCGTTCCTCTTTTCTAATATATGACTTCAACGACATAAATTTCCCCCTAAGAGCTGCTTTTGCTGCATCCCACAGACCTTGATAAACTGCACGTTCATTTAGTTCAAAACATTTTCAAAACTTCTAATATTTCTTCTTTGATTTGTGTCATTTAGACAAGTGTTGCCTGATTTCCAAATATTCTGGGATTTTCCAATTCTCTCCCTATCAACAGATGTCTAGTTAAATTCCATTCTGCTCTGAGAACATACTTTACAAGATTTCAACTGTTTCAAAGTTGTTGAGGTATGTCTCGGAGCCCAGAATGTGCTCTATCTTGGTAAAAGCTCCACATGAGCTTGAGAAGAATGTGGGTTCTGCTGTTGTTGGATGAAGCTGTCTGCAGATGCTAATTCTATCTACGTGCTTGATGATGCTGTTCACACTCCAACCACCTTTGCAGATGCACAGCCCACAGGATCTGCCAATAACTAAGAAGGGTGCTGCAGTCTCCAACTATAAGAGTGGGTTCATCTAGTCCCACCCATGGTTCCATCTGTGTTTTACTTTGTGTATTTTGACACACTGTTGTTAGGTGGATGCATGTTGAAGACTGTTACATCCTCCTGGAGAACTGACACCTTTATCATTCTGTAGTCTCCCTCCCTTTATGTGTCTGATAATTTTCCTTGACCTGAAGTTTGCTGCATCTGAAATTAAAATTGCTCCTTCAATTTTGTTTTATTAGCGCCAGAACGGGATCTCCTTCTACATCCTCCATTTTTAAGGTAACTGTGTCTTTACATTTAAAAGGTATTTCTTGTGGCAGATACAGTTGGGTCTTGTGTTTTTGCCCACTCTGTCTCTTTTAATTGGCATATTTACATTCGCATCTAAAGTAATCATTGATACAGTCGGATTAGTACCTCTTGTATTTGTGACTGTTTTCCATTCATTGCATTTCTTTTTACATCTTCCTTTCTTTCCCTGCCTCTTTTTTAAGGGGCAACCTGAGGACTTTATTCACAGTTCTGCACTGGGGGAGGGGAACACTCCGTGGTGCTGAGCTGGCAGGACTGGGGTGCAGCTGGTGGGGAGGGGGCAGGGTTGGTGAGGAGGGGATCAGTGGGGCAGGCAGGGCAGGGCCAGAGGAGGCCCCCGGGACAGGCCTCATGCTGACTTTCCCTGGGAGACTGTCTGGAGAAAGCTGGCCCCTGAATGGACAGCCCACAGGCCACTGCCCTGACCCAGTGCTGTGCTGACTGGGGCTCAGAGCAGGGAATCTGCCCAGAATCTCAAAGAAACTTGGGACAGAGCTGAGACCCAGTTCCTGAGCAGCAAAGCCCTGGACAGCACTCACCTTGGTCCCGGTCGTGGGTGCCAGCCCCACCGCAGCCATGTAGGTGCTCCCGATGGTCTTGATCTTCTCCAGGTCCTTGTAAAAGTCTTTGTCCATGAGCTTTGTTTAAAACACAAAAGTGTTAAATGTGATGTAACCTCTGAGAGAAGCCACTGCAGGAGCAACCCCAGCACAGAAGAGTCTGTTCTGGGAAGCAGAGGGTCTCTTCAGTTGTGGGCACCAGACAAGGTCGAGGCCGATGTGAGGGGCGCCAGCAAGGGCGTGGGAAAGAGGTAGGGGACGGAGGCCAGCACCCACCACCAGAACTCAGTGCCTGCGGGCCCTTCTCCATGGCGAGGGTCAGTTTGGACCCCCAAGGGGACCGAATGCATGTGCTTCCTCCCAGCTCTGTGTGCGGGGAATGGGCCACATTCCAGGGCATCATTCAGGAGCGGTCCTCAGGGACGGCCGGCACCCTCACCTCGTCAAAGTCAGCGATGATCTCATTCAGGAGGCGCAGACACTCCACGCCCATGTTGTTGCCATCCAGCTCGATGTAGAAGTCGTCAAAGTTGGGGATGGAGGCGAACATGACGCCCACCTGCGAGTAGGACTGGTAGTACAGGTCCTGGAGGCAAAGGTCAGGTCAGCGGCGCGCCGGGCAGCGCGGTGGGCGGGTGAGGGGGCGGCAGGGAAGGGCCGGGGCCTGCCGAGCTACCCCGGCCAGCCAGAGGAACAGGACGCCCTGGAAGCTATGTACGGTCAGAGACGGCCAGCCTGAGCCTTGGGCTCTGTGCCTTTAGGATCTAAACCGCTGACCGAGCCTCTTTATTTTGGAGTCAGCATTGGTGGGTCCCGCTCTGTGGGTGGTTGCAGAGCTTCACTCAGCAGGCCGCCGTGGTTAGGAAGCTCTGACCCACCCGGCTGGCCCGAGCACGGGTCCCCGGAAGCCCATTCTCCCCCATGAGGGGTGACAGGCGCTCTGCTCTCTCCCAGGACAAGGACTTCCTTGCCCCTGGAGCCTCCTGAGGTCTGGCCCCCGCCTGCTGCCCGGGGAGCCCACTCAGCCTCGGTGTGGCCCGGGCTCAGCAACAGCCATGCTTTGCGATCTTAAGCAGAGAAGTGGGGGGCACGTCCCTCTGGGTGGGAGCTCCAGCCACAGGCCTGTGACCCCCCTCCGTCCTGGGGGCAGCTGCTCGGTGGGGTGGGAGCCGGGAGCAGGTGCTCACCATGTTCCGGGGGTTTGACATGAGGAAGTGCTGAGCGACGTGGGCCGGCAGGAGGTTGAAGAGAATCCTCTTGTTGTCCAGCTTCACCCTCTCCATGTCATCCCTCTCTTCCTCTGCCTGAGGGACAGACCCTCCGTCACCCACCGGCTTCTTCCCCTTGCTCATTACTCCCAATGGCCACCTCTCCCAAACCAGGCTGAGCACGCCCCCCAGCCCCTTCCAGCCTGGCCCTGCGTGGGCATCACCTGGTCTCAGCAGAACCAGCAGTCCAGCCAGGCTCCCACCTTGAGCTTTGATGGGGCTCCTCAGCCCCTCCCTCCCGGGTGGCATCTACGCCCTGGACGGCCTTCCCCAGGCCTGCTGGGTCAGCTCAACCAGACCTCTGGCCCCTGACGTCCCCCTTCGTATTTCTCTCTGCTGGCCCTGACCTGCTCCTCGGCGATGAACCCCACCTGCCTATGCTGCACCTGTCCCCTGGCTCTAAATGACATCCGCCTCACCACTGTTAGCGAGGGCCATGAATCGCCTTTCCTACAGCACCCAGGTCTTTCCAATCATCCAAACTAAACTCCAAAGGTGCTGATCCCTGGTCTACAAGGCGCCTCTTCACCCCCCAGAGCTCCTCTTCTCCAGGCAGAGCAGCTACATCATTGTCACAGGGATCCAGAGGAGCCACAAATTTCTGGGTAAGTCCCCACCCTGATCAGCTGTAACCTCCACAGGACAGATAATGGGGGGCTCCACTCCATTTCTAAAGTACACTCCCCACCACCTTCTGGGACCCAGACACCTGTAGCAGCTCTGAGGCACGAGCCTGCTCCCAGGTCATGCTGCCCCCCAGGCAGCCCCTGATGTGCCCTAGAACACTCATGGGCACTGCCACTTGTGTCAGTCACTCAGGATGCCCACAGCCAGGCAGGCAGCCCCATTTCCCCTAGAATCTCCCCACTTCCAGCAGGATTCACATCCTGGGCACTGAGACAGGGAGACCTGTGGGGACCTGGGGTTGGGAACAGATGCAGCACCAATGGAGCTCGGCTGGGTATAGGCTCATGGGAGCAGGGGGCGAAGGCCAAGGGGGTCCCCTGGCTATGCTGCTGGGGAGGTGAAGGTCCTCTGAGCCTCAGGGCCTTGCACAGAGTAATGAAACCAGCATCCACAGCTCTGCCCATGAGCTGAAGCAACCAGAGGGCCATTGGTCATTCACTCTAGCTCCCAAACCTGGCCCCTAGCCTGACCTGAGAGGGGCCATTTGAGGAACATTTCAAGGGCTGCATCAGCCCTGTGGACACTGGCCTTTAGGGGTGCTAACAGTGGCAGAGCGATGCCTCGTCGGGAGCCTGCAGCCTGGTGATCAAAGCTGGGGCTTGGAGGCCCCACTCCGCACTTCCTGTCTTGCATCATGGCCAGGTGACATGCCCCATCTTCCTCATCATAAAGTGGATGGAAGGTCCTCAATTTTAGGGCCCTGCTCTTACTTATCAAGGTTTTGGAGCATGTTTGCTACCTGCTTAGCCTGGAACCATCCGCTCCTATTAATTCAGTACAACATCTACCAGTTATAGTGAGAAGCAGTGACTCCCAGAGGCAGAGCTGCAGAAGCCCGGCCTGAGGAGGAAGATGCATGGACCATAGGGGAGGGCGCAGCCAGGATGAGGGGCCCAGTCAGCAGCCCTAGGCCTCCTCTGGGGGCTGTGCTGGGAAACCACCATGGGTGGTCCACTGGCCCATTGGTTATCAAGGAGCCTGGCGATGGGATGGGCTTCATCCTCCTCCTCACAGCATGCAGTCAGGCAGCAGGGGGCACAGGAGAAGGAGCCCAGAAGCTACAAGACCCAGTGGAGATGGGCTAAGCTGTCCTCTGTGGAAGGGAGGCTGCGGCCATGGGAGAAATGGAAGCGTCAGAAGGAAGCCAGGAACCCCTCCTAGGAGCATGCAATTCATTACCTGTCAACGGGTGTGCAATGACTGACACAAAAGAAAGTTTTTTACAGGGTAAGATAAAGACGAAGTAAATGTTTTTAAGACGGCAGTTTTATTTGCTAATGGCACTAACCATTTTGCTCTCCCCAAAATACTGTCAGTGTTGAAGAAAGCAACGTAAGTGAATGCACTTCAACTTTGTAAAATAAAAGAATCTTGGTTTATCATTTTGTGATCAAAAACTTTAGTTCAAAATTCATTTTCTTTCCACTGACTTAGAATTCACTGACATCTATAGCAAATCAGGGTAGCAAAAACCGTTGTCTGTTTTTCAATCCATCCACAGATGCAAAGGTCTATGTTACATGATGGATAAATGTTCATCTCCTTACAAGTTAAGCAGAAGACGGACACCTGGGTGGCTCAGTGGTTGAGCATCTGTCTTTGGCTCAGGGCATGATCCCAGAGTCCTGGGATCGAGTCTCACATCGGGCTCCCTGCAGGGGGCCTGCTTCTCTCTCTGCCTCTCTCTGTGTGTCTCTCATGAATAAATAAATAAATAAAATCTTTTAAAAAAAGTTAAGTAGAAGAAGTTGTATTGTAATATATTTAACAAATAAGAGGAACACCCAGTGAAATTCTCTTTTTTGTAAGATTTTCCTAACCAGCCAGGAAACTCTAAGTGTTGGTGAGAAGGGGCTGGTGTAGCTGACACACACTATTCCTGCCAGCACATGAGAGATAAAACCAACACCCATTCTCAAGCTGTTCCCTCTGCAGCAGAGCTTCTTTCAAAAGACATTTCCCTTCTCATACATCAAAATCCGATCCTGGACATTAAGGGACAGAATGTGGGAGCTGACATCTCAGAAAGTACTTCCCAGGGTGCACTTACAGTTACGTGGCACCGGAAGAGGGGCTCGCAGGCTGGGGCCACTGTCTCTCCATCAATAGAACAGAACAAAACAGCATAACCTGATGGGTCCCAGATCTGCTGGCACAGTGACCAGTGGGCTAGATGTGCTGTGACTATCACCATGACTCCCATAAAATGCTGCAAAGATTTCTAATTTAACCAACCAGACCAGCACACCCCTCCTAGTGCCTGGAATGAAGGACATGCTCACTCAAAATGAACAGCCGGTCATGCTCTTTCTGGGAAGTGACATCCCTGCATCCTCCTGGAAGTGACATCTGGCTTGAGGCAGATGGTCACTGCCAGCTCATTCCTCAAATAGTAGGAGAGTGTATTTCTTAATTTCCAGAACACTCACTATGAACAGAGCTGCTGATGCTGCACTAGCGTCCTCCGGAGAAAAGAACCAACAGAATATATGCAGACACAGGAAGAGATTACCAGGACTTGGCTCACAAGATCACGGAGCTGAGCAGTTCCACCTTCTGCTGTCTGCAAGCCGGATGCCCAGGAAAACAAGTGGTGGTTCCTGTCCAAGCCCAAAGGCCTGAGAAGGAGAAACAAGGGCAGAAGACCAATGTCCCAGCTCAACCGTGCAGGAGGAGGTGCTGGAATCCAGCTCTGCCTTTTTGTTCTATTCAGGCCTCAACTTGAACTTATCTAGGTCCCAAAAAAGGGATCAAAATGATATTTATGGCATAAAGAAATACTTAGCACCCAGAAACTAAAATTCACAATTCATAACATCTAACTAAAAATTAGCAGACAGGGAAGCAGAAAACTATAGCTCATAACTAAGAGTTGACAACTATCAGTTGACATCGACCTATAGGCGTACACTCGGTGGTCTGAGTTAAACAATTTGTTCAAAAAACTGGAGGAAGGGTGCCTGGGTGGCTCAGTGGTTGGCTTTCTCCCTTTGGCTCAGGTTGTGATCCCAGGGTCCTGGGATCAAGTCCCCCATCAGATTCCCTGCAGGGAGCCTACCTCTCCCTCTGCCTGTCTCTCTTGTGAATAAATAAAATCTTAAAAAAAAAAAAAAAGCTGGAGGAAGCATGGTCAGTAGATACAGAGGAGATGTGAAAGAGACCCAAATCTACATTCTAAAAATGAAAACTACAAAATCTGAGATGGGAAATGCACAGACGGGATTAGCAAAAGTAATATTAGGTGCTGCGGCAGAAATGAGGATAAACGTGAAAAGCACCAAATGTGGAAGGCACTGAGAAGAGGGAGGAACAGAGTGTGCCCAGAGCATGAGAGAGGTGTGGGACACCGTCCAGATGCCTAATGCACACACAGGCAAGGCCCTTGAAGGACAGAGACAGAAAAACATCAGAAGAAATAAGGGATGAAATTTTTCCAAATTTACTGAAATCTGCAAACGCACAGATCCAAGATGCTCCACAAACCTCAAGCAAAAAATGACATCAGGGTACATCACAATCAAGCCACTTAAAACCAGGAATAAAGGGATCCCTGGGTGGCACAGCGGTTTGGTGCCTGCCTTTGGCTCAGGGCGCGATCCTGGAGACCCGGGATCGAATCCCACGTCGGGCTACCGGTGCATGGAGCCTGCTTCTCCCTCTGCCTGTGTCTCTGCCTCTGTGTGTGTGTGTGTGTGTGTGTGTGTGTGTGACTATCGTAAATAAATAAAAATAAAAAAAATATTTAAAAAAAAAACAGGAATAAAGAGAAAATCTTCAAAAGCCACCAGATACAAGGACACATTTACTCACAGAAAGATGGTGGTTGATGAATCGCTGGAAGCAATGCCAGACAAGAGACAAGAGAATATCTTTAAAATGTGAAAGGGAAAAGGATCGTCAACCTACAGACCTATAGCACACTTATCTTTCAATCATGAAGGCAAAATAAAGATGTTTCCAGACACATGAGAGTTGGAAGAATGAATTGCCAACAGACCTGCAAGAAATGTTAAAAGTGATCCTTCAGGAAGAAGGCGGGTACCAGATGGAAACCTAGATCTTCACCAAAGAATGACAAGCACCAGAATTCACAACTCTGTGGATACATAAAAATACCACTTCTTCTCATAAAATATCCTTAAAATACAATTAAATAAATTTATGGTGGAAAATATATTTTGGAGTTTATTATATATTTCCAAATAAGATCTATGACGTCAGTACCAAAAACCTAGGGTGGGAGGAAAGATGTATGCTGTTGTAGGTAGAATAACATCAACTAAAGAGAGACAATAATAAGTATTCACTGAAATAATACCACAGGGGGTGGGGGGGCGCTAAGATGGTGG